CACCTCACACCAGTCAAAATGGCTAAAATTAACAAGTCAGGAAACGACAGATGTTGGCGAGGATTCAGAGAAAGGGGAACCTTCCTACATTGTTGGTGGGAATGCAAGCTGGTGCAGCCACTCTGGAAAACAGAATGGAGGTTCCTCAAAAAGTTGAAAATAGAGCTACCCTACGACCCAGCAATTGTACTACTGGGTATTTCACCCAAAGATACAAATGTAGGGATCCGAAGGGGTACGTGCACCCTGATGTTTATAGCAGCAATGTCCACAATAGCCAAACTATGGAAAGAGCCAAGATGTCCATCAATAGATGAATGGATAAAGAAGATGTGGTGTACACACACACACACACACACACACACACACACACACACACAGGAATATTATGTAGCCATCAAAAAACACCGAAATCTTGCCATATGCAACGACATGGATGGAACTAGAGTGTATTATGCTAAGCGAAATAAGTCAATCAGAGAAAGACAAGTATCATATGATCTCACTGATATGAGGAATTCTTAATCTCAGGAAACAAACTGAGGGTTGCTGGAGTGGGGGGTGGGGTGGGAGGGATGGGGTGGCTGGGTGATAGACATTGGGGAGGGTATGTGCTATGGTGAGTGCTGTGAATTGTGCAAGACTGTTGAATCACAGACCTGTACCTCTGAAACAAACAATACGTTATATGTTTAAAAAAAAAAAAGATAATAGGAAGGGGAAAATGAAGCGGGGAATCGGAGGGGGAGATGAACCATGAGAGACTATGTACTCTGAGAAACAAACTGAGGGTTCTGGGGGGTGGAGTGGGGGGATTGGTTAGCCTGGTGATGGGTATTAAAGAGGGCACGTATTGAATGGAGCACTGGATGTTATACGCAAACATTGAATCATGGAACACTACATCAAAAACTAATGATGTATGGTGATTAACATAATAAAATAAAATTTAAAAAAAGATAAACAGTAACAAATGTTGGCAAGGATGCTGTAAAATTTGAATCCTCATGTTGCTAGTGTAAAAGTAAAATAATAAAGTCTCTTTAAAAAAAAAATTAAAGACTGCCAATACCAAGTATTGGTGAGATGTGTATCAGATCAAAGACTCATGCACTGTAATACAACCACTTTGGGAAAGATTTTAGGCATTGCTTAAAAACTTAAGCATTCACTTACTATTTGTTGCAGTAATTTCACTCGTGTATTTTACAGGAGAAATGAAAACATATGTCATGTGAAAGTTTGTATGCAAAATACAGAAGCTTTATTTATAATAGTTCCAAACAGGAAACAACACAAATGTCAATCAACAAGCGAATGGATAAACCAATTATATATCCATGAAGAGAAATATTACTAAAAATTTATAAGATAGGTAAATATAAGTACAGTAAGGAAGAGTCTCAAAAACATTATGCTGAGCAAAAGAAGCCAGATACAAAAGAGTCTACATTATGTAATTCCAGTTATATGAAGCTCTAAAAATATGTATATATTCAATGTATAGTGACAGAAAACAGATCAGTGGTTGGAGTGTGTTTTGGACTTTTGGGCAGTAGGTAACTGGAAAGGGGCACAAGGAAAGCTTCTAGTGTGAAGGATTATTTATATTTTGATTTTGATGTTGCTTAGGGGGTGCATATATTTTTCAAAATCCATTGCACTATAAACCTAAAATTTTATATGAATTATATCTTAGTAAAAACTTAAAAAATTAGGTCTAGATATTCATAATGGATAAAAACAAAATAAAATCATGTGCTCCTTGCAAGAGAAGGATCTAAAGCATATAGACACAGAAATGTTGCAAATAAGAAGATGGAGAAATATATTCCACCTAATACTAACTACAACAATAGCCTCTAAAACAAACTGAACCAAAACAAACCAACCAAAATAACAGCCTCAACAACCAGCAGAGCCACCACCCAGATAGCGCTCCTTCCTCCTGGAACCGACATTGTAGTGAGAGAGACAGTCTTGTAATTAGATAGAGTCACATAAAATTGTAAAATGGTTTAAGTCTTCACTTAGCTGAAACATTATTATGAAATCATAAAAAATAAATTAATGCTTCAAATAATAGGTTATACTGTCTTCATGATTCAGAGAGATAGACTTCATTTATAGAAAGCACTTTCATGTTTGGGGGAGGGAGATAATTGATTAAAAAGAGCCTGGGAACTTATTTAATCAAATCTAAAAAGGAAATGCAGTGTAATGAGAGATATGAGGACTGGACAGAGTGTAGCTTGAGAAAGTATTTCTTCTTCAAGGGAAAGATGCGAGCAGTGTTAAGTGCTACGAGGAAAACTCAGGAAGGTGGGAGCAGTGGAAGATTCTTGTTTACAACTCAGAGCGGAGTTCCTGAGACACAAGGGGCTCCAGAACACAGAAATTTTGAGTCAGAAATATGCTTCCTGTGGTTGTAGCAGGAAAAGTGGAGAGAAGAATGGGTGTAGATTTGGGCAAATTTGTAGATGTTGGTGACAGGCAGTTGAAGGTGTTCCTGCCAGACGTCTTTCATTTTCTGTCAACTGGGAGATGTGGTCATCTTCTGAGAGCCAGAGTAGAGATAGTAGTTGGAGGATATCAGAGAAATTTTGGACTTGGGAGAAAGGACTGTGGAGCAGCATTGAGACCCCAGTTAGAAGTCATATATTTAAAGTGGTTCCTATGGGGGTGCCTGGGTGGTTCAATTGGTTAAGTGTCGGACTCTTGATTTCAGCTCAGGTTATGATCTTGGGGTCCTGGGATCAAGCCCCACATCCGGCTCTGTGCTCAGCATGGAGTTGACTTGGGCTTCTAGCTCTCCCTCTGCCCACCCCCTCCCCGGTTCGTGCTCTCTCTCTCTAATAAAAAAATAAAGTGGTTCCTATCTGGACAGATGCACAGTCCTGGGATTTTTCTCCAGCCCCATTCTGGAGCATCAGTGCTCTTAGGAAGGGTCTGGAAAGGTGCATGCATATAGGTTTGAGGAGACAGAACAAGAGGCAAGAGAGTTGAGGATAGTAGCAGAATAGTGGTTTAAGTGATGAACCCTGCAATCTAAGCTGGAGAGGAAAAGATAGAAAGACTCAAGGGCACGGATTCATAGACAGAAAGTAGAGATGGTGGTTGAATAGTCCAGAGAGAGTAGACTGACTCAATGAGAGAGCAGTTTTAAAAGAAGTGAGGGAGTTGAAAATGACTCTCAGAAGACATCTGTGTTTTGTTGGATGGGATTCACCCCCTTCAGCCCCTAAAAATAGAGGCAGGGGAAGGAAATCATAATTGAAGTCAAAGAATAATCTCCATTACATGATTCCCCTGTTCAAGAAGTCAATGTATTTCTTTACTGATTATTATAGATGAATGTAATACAAGGCTTGGTTATACAGTGACCACTCAATAGGTATCCACTAAGAAATGAATAAATCAATAGTAAATGCAATCCTTGAAAATCCTCTATTGTATGTCTTTTTAATTCTGTTTTCCTTAGGCAGCTAATAGTTGAATAATTATCCCTAGGAAGCAGTGGAGTTGTGATTAGTGTTGGAGTCAGAATTTGGTTCAAATCCCAGAACAACCAAATGCTAGACTAATCATGGCAGTATCCAATAAAAGTTCTCCTCACCTATTGGCTCCCTCCCCATTTTGGGGGGATTCAGGGATAGTGGAGAACAAGGCCTTTCTCCAGATAGTAGATTTGCATCCCAAGATGGTCTTATTTTTTATGTGCAAAGTTACTAGGGAGTTACTAGAGATACGAAAATGAATTAAAACAGATTTTACTCTATAGGAATTTTCAAGACTGCTAGGAGAAACAGACAGACATAAATATAATATATACACGGATTTCTAGGAAAGATGTAGGAAATAACTTTCTAAGGGGTGGGTGAAAATAGGGAGGTTTTATGTAGAAAGTGGCATTTGATTTGGGTACTGAATGATGAGCAGAAAAGGTAAGGGACTATCTATAAGCATCTAATGAAAGGTGGAGAGAGGGTTACAAAAAGCTTGGAATCTATTGAGGAGGACAACAGCATCAGAGATATATTAATGTAACAATTCATTGTTTTGGTTCTGTCTTTGAAAGCTTATTTTTAATTGAATAGGGACATAGAACAAGTACATAAAATCACACAAAACTAGTGGGCTTCATAAAAAGGAGAGATTACATCCAGTTTTGGAGATTCTTCTGGCTGCAATGTCCTCTCCTGGAATCCAGCTAACAAGTGTTCGGACTCACCTCTTTAGGGTATGATCAACAGAGGGACAGCAGTTAAGAGTGAGATCCTGTATGCTCTAGATTCGGTTTCAAATTAGGGAGCTTCTATGTGCCTCAGTTTATTTATTTATTTATTTATTTATTTATTTATTATTATTATTATTATTTGCCTCAGTTAACTTTTAAATAAAATGGAAATACTTTCCTCAAGGAATTGTTAAGAATGACACTGGACGAGGGGCGCCTGGGTGGCTCGGTTAAGCGACTGCCTTCGGCTCAGGTCATGATCCTGGAGTCCCGGGATCGAGTCCCGCATCGGGCTCCCTGCTCGGCAGGGAGTCTGCTTCTCCCTCTCTCGCTACCCCCCTCTTGTGCTCTGTCTCTAAAATAAATAAATAAAATCTTTAAAAAAAAAAAAATGACACTGGACGAAAATGCACAGCAAGCGTACTACCTCGTATCTATGTCCTAAATTGTACATTTAATAAACAGATACCTAAAGTGTTCTCCAGACAGCACAATTCCGCCGGTTGTGGGCGATAGACCACACCCTCCTAATTGGCCCGCGGGGTTCCCCGGCTTTTGCGGAAATAGCGGTTCAAAACGCCTCACAGCCTCTGAAAAAGCACGTGGTCTCCGCCCTCCCACAACAACAAAAAAACACTAACTCTAGCGCCGGCCCCAGGTGGTGAGGACTTGATTTTTAAATCCATCCAAAAGAACCAATCAGAGCCGGCAGTCCGAGTGCGCGGAAGCCGATTGGTCCATTACTACTTACGGTGACCAATAGGCTTGGAGGGTGAGTTTGGTCTGTCCCGGAAGCGGGCGAATCGAAAACCGGTGGCGGCCGCGGGCAGTTTGAATTGGAATCTGGGCTGAAGCCAGCGGAGGCTGCACTCGAGCCCGACTCTCTGAGGGGTCGTCTTTCCCTCCCCGCCAGCAAGGTGAGTGTCCTGCGTGGGTCGTGGCTTCGGCGGCGGGCGTGGGGGGGGGGAGGCTCGGCTGGCTTTCTGCCCGAGGATCCTGGGCCGGGATGCCTGTGGGATCGAGGTCCCGGGCCCAGGGGGTGCAGCGTACCTCCCCCTCCCACCTGACGGGACCGGAGGATCGGCCCGGGAGAGGTTTATTAAGGCTGTCGGGGCCCCTCTGCTCCTGGGAGAGCTGTGCTCGCACTAGTGTCCGCACACTCGGTTCGCTCACGAGCTCGTACTTTGGGGGATCAGTTTCCTCCTCTGTAAGATACGTGAATTGGAGATTAGCAGATATTTCTTAGCAGCCGTCTACGTCCAGAGCCAGTGGTCCCTTTTTGAAATTTGGACGTCGGTCCTTTGTTGCATGGAGGAGATGAAAGCTTGGGTTTTTTGATCGGCGCGGCACGTTGGCGTGCCTATTGTTAGCTGCGAGAGCATTTCTCCCGTCTTCCACATTTATTTGGACACGCTAGGTTCCTGGCTCTGCTGTTATGAAGACCCAGAAATAAATAAATGACCTGAGTCCTATCCTTGAGTTTTGTCTAGAGGAGCAGAGTTTTCACTTTTAGGCTCAGCCATGGCATTGTAGGCGGCGACTCGGGCTTTCTTGGCTGAGATGGGAGCTCCTTTTAAAGGGAAAGCGTTGAAGTGGGCCTCCAGTGCTGGGGGTAGGTGATTCGGGCATAAAGAGTGCCCTCCCCATATTTAAGATAGAGCATTTTCTGCAAAATCCTTGCAGGAACCTTGACACCTGGGCTGTTCTTCAACTACCCACCCTCCTTTACACCTGTTGCTCCTTACATCTTAATCTGGAGATTTACACTCTTTGTCCTTTGCCCCAGTGGCTCCATACAGACTGCTGATGTTTGATGCCTTAATCTGATCAAAATTAGCTTGAGTCTGGTGATTGTTTTAACCACTTCTTTATAGCTGTAGCTTAGACTTTGAAATGGCAAAGCATTCAACTTGCTAGTTTTCCTTCTGTTTATTTTCCTCATCTCTATCATCTTTCTGAATTGACCCTTTTAATATTTTGTTGGTGATGGTGTCTTTTTTTTTTATAAGCTTTTCTTTTTAAGATTTTATTTATTTATTTGAGAGAGAGAATGAGATAGAGAGCATGAGAGGGGGAAGGGTCAGAAGGAGAAGCAGACTCCCTGCTGAGCAGGGAGCCCGATGCGGGACTCAATCCTGGGACTCCGGGATCATGACCTGAGCCGAAGGCAGTCGCTTAACCAACTGAGCCACCCAGGCGCCCGGTGATGGTGTCTTGATGTAACGATTTCAGTGGCTGGCAGATCTGTTTAGGACAGTTATCGGTTGTGTGCCTCTGGGGTATTGTACCCTCATCCCTGCATGGGCGGGCTAGATTGGAATGGAGGGAGAAGCCTATTGTGACAGTGTAAATTGTCCTTTGTTGGTGGAGAGAGAGGTATGAGATTTCTTTCAGCAGTTTTTGGGCAAATGGAAGTGGAGTTTAAGATGCTGTGTTCAAAGAACTGAGATCTGGAAAAAGAAAAAAAATTAAACTGGCAGAGAAAACACTGCTTTCCAAGGCTTAATACCTAAACTATGTTTTCCACGAACTTTGCTCTCTTAATTTTTGAACATCTTTTTATCATTCTTAGTACTTTTATCAACTGTTTATTAGTTCTGATAAAAAGTTTCATTGATACATCAATTGAAGCAAGACACTAAAATGTTTGTGGACTTCAGGTAGTAAAAAGCGGATTCTCACCTTCCCCAAATAGCTGGAAAACGAATGCTTTTCTTTCATTTAAGTTCTAGAAACTAATGAGTAAAGAACAATTACCATACTTTTCTCCCAGCTGATTTGAATTTCCTAAGATGTGGCTGAGAAGGAGGTAGGCCACTTCCCTCTTGGTACCAGAGGCTGAAATATACAAATGAAGTGTTTTCGAGTATTAATATAATAGCTAACAGGTACAGAATGCTTATCAGGAAATATAGGACTCTTCTAAGGCTTTGGAAAGTCACTGCCATGATTATCCACACTTTACAAATGAGGAAACCAAGGCACAGAACAGTTAAGTAACATGCCCAAGGTCACACATCTTGTACGTGGCTGAGCTGGGATTTGAATTACTGAGGCTATATACCGGTTTCCTCATCAAGGTCTGTCTGGAGCATGGCTTTACTGCATTCTAGCGCTAATATGGCATTTGCTCTTTGTTCATTCATGCATTAATTCAACACATGATAACTGCTGGGAAGGGGGACGGGGACTGTGCCAGGAGATATGACCAGGTTAGGGATCTCCCCAGGGAAGAGGGACAAAGTATGCATGACAGTGATGTGAAGAGCGAAAGAAGGGCATTTGCAAAATAACTTATCATGAGTTTTCTTTGTTTATAGGACCTATTTCACCTATTGCAGAGCAAAGTACTCCTGTTTTATATCATGGTAACAAAGTGAGAGGTAGAAAGCAGGTAGCTAAGAAGTCAAACCTGAGAAACAGGAAAAACAGAGAGCCAGGGAAGCCACACAAGCATCTTAGGTACCTCACAATGAGACCGATTGGTGGTCGCCTTTCAGGGGGTGGGGAAGATCGATGTCCTACTTCCTTATCTTCTGAAATGTGAAGCTTGGAAGCTCCTTAGAGACGCCTTAGTCTTTGAGGCTTTTAGGTCTCTTTTCATGACAGTAAGACCAACAGTCTGCTTATTCTCTCCAGTTTATTTATAAATGTGTGACTGGTAAAGAAAGGAGAGCAACATGAGCTGGGCTTTGGAAGAATGGAAGGAGGGCCTGCCTACGAGAGCTCTTCAAAAAATCGAAGAGCTGGAAGGCCAGCTGGACAAACTGAAGAAAGGAAGGCAGCAAGCGCAGTTCCAGCTGGAGACTCTGGAGGCCGCGCTGCAGAAGCAGAAGCAGAAGGTACCACTGAAGCGCTGGCTCTCAACCAGCGTGTGGATTATTTGATCTTGGTCTGCAATTTCGAGAAAAATGAGTGTGCTCTCTGTGGGTGGTAATCTGCCCCTCTCCTTCTTCTCCAGCCTCTGCCCCTCATTTCGGCTTACCTGCTAATATTGAGGGCTGCTGAGTTCCATTTTCATTCTGTTTGGGACCACACATGGGAAACTGCTTTTGGGTTCCATACCAACATGGCCAAAATTCTCGGACTCCGAATCTGGGCGCCAGTATTAGGGCACTTTGCAGTCCAAATGGATATTGCTCCCTGAGTGTGGGCTTTTCACCTTGGCATTCCCAGACTTCTCTTCTGGGCTAGGAAATGAGAACTAAAACAGTGCTTCTTCCTTCCCTCTGCATTAGCCAACAAGTTAGTGGTACAGTCACTGCTTCTGAAATGGCTTCCCTAGTGGGAGAATTTTTATAACAACTGGCTTCAGTGGCCAGACTTTCTTTTCTTTTTTTTTAAGATTTAGTTTATTTCCGAGAGAGCGAGGGAGAGAGCACGAGTAGGGGGAGGAGCAGAGGGAGAAGCAGACTCCCCACTGAGCAGGGAGCCCGATGCGGGGCTCGATCCCAGGACCCTGGGATCATGACCTAAGCTGAAGGCAGACGCTTAATCGACTGAGCCACCCAGGTGCCCCAGTGGCCAGACTTTAAAATGAATTGCTAAGAGAGATTTATAGGGTTTATTTTTGATCTTGTTATACTTGAAAGGACATTAAAGCCAAGTCCCTTTCCAGGAAGGGTATGTATAGCCCTGACCAAAGACAATATAATCCATGACTTTATAGAACTTTTCTATCTAGACTTCAAAGTGAGGTCATTTAAAATTGCTGTGTTCCTGGGGAGCCTGGGTGGCACCTTCGGTTAAACATCCGATCTTGGTTTTGGCTCAGGTCATGATCTCAGGGTCGTGAGATTGAGCCCCAGTCAGGCTCTGGGCTCAGCATGGAATCTGCTTGGACTTTCTCTCCCTCTGCCTCCCCACCCTGTGCTTGTGCTCTCTCTCTCTCTCTCTCTCAAATAAATAAATCTTTAAAAAAAAATTTTGTGTTTGTGAAGAAGCACTGACCTGTGGATTACAGCAACCACATCTCACAATAATTAGTTGTCGGTGTTACACTCAGATTTACAAATACTTGGTAAATTCACGCAGTAAAAGAGACCTATTTCTTTCTGCACGATCTCCATTAGGTTGAGAATGAAAAAACAGAGGGTGCAAACCTAAAAAGGGAGAACCAAAGCTTGATGGAAATATGTGAGAATCTGGAGAAGACCAAGCAGAAAATTTCTCATGAACTTCAAGTCAAGGAGTCGCAAGTGAATTTCCAAGAAGGGCAGTTGAACTCCAGCAAAAAACAAATAGAAAAACTGGAACAGGAACTGAAAAGGTAATTATGTTTGAGTGGTATTAATGTGGATATCCTTTATATGTGTTCATTGGATGCTTTTATCTTTTCCTTTAATGGTGTAATTATATGTTGCAATCATTTTCCCAGTGAAATGAACAATGACTTGAGGAAAATTAATTCTTCTATACTTCAGTGCTCTAATTGCATGGCTCAATACTATGTAAATGCATTAAATGGCTTCTTGCTTATTCATTTATTCATTCAAGATATATTTATTAAGCTGCTTCATGGGCCAGATGCTGTGTTTTCTACCAGATGATGTAGTATTAAATAATACCAAATCTCTCAACAGTGAGTACTAGAAGATGGAGAGGAGTTAAGCATATCTAATACCAATGGCTTATGTTTCTTCCTCTGAGTGGAAAAGCTGTTGTAGAGAATGAGAGAGAACGAGGGAATTTCAAAAGACCTAGGAACACTGAGGGCCCCGTTGAGGTTGGAGACCAGGAGTTTATAGTGGGACCCATCTATAGAGTTGTATGCTTTTTTCCTTTTCCTTTTAGCATCTGGGAGGTAAATGCTGAGAATGTAAACAGGAGGATTGACTTGGGGTTGTTTTTGGCCAGGGTAATGGGATGGAAGATGGTGGAATATTTAAGGATGCTGGGGAGAGAGTGGTTAAAATTATGTGCCGTGGAATCTAAGCTGGAGAGGGAAGAAAGTGTACTCAAGAAGGGGCTCCTACTGGGGCACCTGGGTGGCTCAGCCCTTAAGCGTCTGCCTTCGGCTCAGGTCATGATCCCAGCGTCCTGGGATCGAGCCCCACATCAGGCTCCCTGCTCAGCGGGCAGCCTGCTTCTCCCTCTCCCACTCCCCCTGCTTGTGTTCCTTCTCTTGCTTTGTCTCTCTCTGTCAAATTAATAAATAAAATCTTAAATTAAAAAAAAGTTCCTACTGAGATCTCCATCTTCCATCTTAAGTATTACATAACCAGTTTGCCAGCTTAAGCAATAAAAAATGGTGCCTATGACTTCTTTTCCATTAAAAAAAAAAATATCCAAACAACTTGAGACATTAATCAAAATAAATCCAGTGGGACCAAAAGACTGCTAGCTTATAGATGGTATCTTCTTGTTCTAATAGTGGAATTTTGTCAAAATAACAAGGAGTAATACAGGTGGAAAGCCAAGTGGATGTCAGCAGATTGCTCCATTGTTGATTCTGCTAATACACACCCAGAAATTTAAAAAAAGCAAAAACAATTTCATTTTGAAATAACTTTAGATTTATAGAAACCGTTGTTAACATCTTACATAACCAAAGTACAATGACCAAACCAGAAGTAAACATTGATTCAATACTATTCACTAAACTATGGACCTTGTTAGAATGTCACTGGTTTTTCCAATCATGAGCTTTCTTTGTTCCATGCTCTGATCCAGGATTCCACATTACATTTAGTTGATATTTTCATCATCTCTTTCTAAGCTGTGACCGTTTCTTGTTTTTTTGTCCTTGAAATTGTTTAAGAGTCCTAGTCAGCTCTTTTGTTAGAATAGTCCTCAGTTTAGGTTTGTCTACTGATGAGATCAGGGTTTTTCAGCAGTGGCACAGTTCCCATTTGGGACTAGATGGTGCTTTGCTGGGGAAGGCTGTCCTGTGCGTTGTAGGACACATAACAGCATTCCTGGCCTCTACCCAAAAGATGCCAGTAGCACCTCCCCCACGTGCATGTTTTGATAATCAAACATGTCTCTAGGCACTGCCAAATGTCTTTTGGGAGGGTAAAATCATCCTGGATTGAGAACCACTGGGTCAGACTGAGGTTATGAATTCTGGGTAAGAATACCACAGAAGTAGTGATGTGCCTTTCTCAGTGTATCCTATCAGGAGATACATGACCTAATAGGACTTTTACCCTGATTCCCTGGCTGAGGTGTTGTCTGGGTTTCTCCACTGTGAAGTTACACTGTTTTTCCCTTTGTAATTAATAAAGATCTTGATTCCATGAAATTTTTTTTTCCTAATGTGGCCACAATAATCTTAATTATACCTACCTCTCAAATTGAAAGTTAAAATACTTTAAAATTACTCTTATTTGTCTTCCTGTGAAGATAATTTAGGTACACAGGAATCTCTTCCTAATTTTTTTCCTACCCACGTAGGAAGGTGGGTCTCTATAAGTTGCATGTTGGAATGATAAGTAACTTCTATCTCATTGAGTTTTTTGTTTTCTTGTTTACTGTCTGCCATACCAGACTCCATGAGAACAGAGACCTGGTCAGTCTTATCAGTGTACCCCGTGCACCTGGCAGGCCCTCAAATATTTGTCAAATAAATAGATGAAAGATAGGTAGTTGTTTTTGGAAAACAGATGTTAGGGAAGTAGGAAGCTTACTTTCAGAATGCCAGAATAGTTTTCTCTGAAAGTACATTTTGGCTGCTGGTTTTAGAAATACAGGGTTATTTTTATTTATTTTTAAAGATCTTATTTATTTATCTGAGTTAGGAGAGATAGAAAGAGAGCGAGCAAGCTGAGGGAGAGGCAAAGGGGGAGAGAAAAGGAAAGAATCCTAAGCAGACTCCCTGTCGAGTGTGGAGCCCCATGCGGGGCTTGATCCCATGACCCCAGGATCATGACCTGAGTGGAAACCAAGAGTCAATCACTTAACCGGCTGAGCTACCCAGGTGCCCCAGAAATACTGGTTTTAATAATTTGGACAGAAATGTTTGTATTTTTAACATTTGAGGTAAACATTTGTTTGTATACATGTCTATTTTTTATTGCAAAGTGACATTTGGTGGCAATACCTGCAGATATAAAGTGCTCAGAGTTGTGTGTGATACCTAGCAACTTGGTAAGTGTTAACATTATTATTATCAGTTGTTATAGTTGGGGTTAGGATAGCACACTTAGTTTAAAAGTATTTTTATTATCTGTGATGTAGATATAGATGTTTATAAACTATATAAACCTCAGACTGTAAAAACTATTAAGTTAAAAAAAACCAAACTATTAAGAGTACAGTTTCCTAGAATATAAAAACCATAAACTAGAAAAACTATTGAGTGTATTCAGATTCCCACTGCTAACCTTCAAGTGCAGGCAGAAACTTATTTTCTCCATCAGTGGCCACTGATTAGGTTTCTGGAAGGTCTCAAACAAGTTAGGTTGAACCATTGGAAATGTTGGTCAAAAACTGTTGAGTACTGACAATCTCATACAGTTAAACCGCTTAATTTAGTGCTATTTTGGTGGCAGTTTTTGTTTTTCTTCGTAGGAAATAGGAGAAATAAAGGCTTATAGAAATAATAGGGTATAGGGGCACCTGGGTGGCTCAGTCGTTAAGCGTCTGCCTTCGGCTCAGGTCATGATCCCAGAGTCCTGGGATCGAGCCCCACATCGGGCTCCCTGCTCCGCGGGAAGCCTGCTTCTCCCTCTCCCACTCCCCCTGCTTGTGTTCCTTCTCTCGCTGTGTCTTGCTCTGTCAAATAAATAAATAAAATCGTTAAAAAAAAAAAAGAAAGAAAAAATAATAGGGTATAGTTTTATATTTAAAATAAACTTTTTTTCTAATGAAAGGATAGGCAGAGGAGGATGAAGTGTGAATTTGAGAGGAAAAAGAAACACCGATTTTTACAAGCTTCTTTAAAATTCATCTCTAAAGTCACCAAATTTGCTACACCTTTGATAGTCTATAGACCTGGACCATTCTTTGTGGTAGCTACTGGCTACATGGCTTGAAATGTGGCTATTACAAATTGAAATGTGACAGGGCGCCTGGGTGGCTCAGTGGGTTAAGCATCTGCCTTCAGCTCAGGTCATGATCTCCAGGGTCCTGGGATCAAGTCTCGCATCGGGCTCCTTCTCCCTCTCCTTCTCCCCTTCTCCCCTGCTTGTGCTCTCTCTCTCTCAAATAAAGAAAATCTTAAAAAAAAAACAAAAAAAAAAACCCAAATTGAGATGTGCTATAAGTATGCAATGCACACCAAATTCTGAAGGTTCAGTAGAAAAAAAAGTAAAATATCTCAATAATTTTAGTATTGACTGTAAGTTGAAATGATAGTATTTTGAAAATATGGAATTAAATAAAATACTAATATTAAATCCATTTGTTTCTTGTTACTCTTTACATGTTAGTAGAACCTTTCTATTGGACAGTGCTGTTACCAACCATAAGCTCGAATGTGAAGATTTGATTTGCAGAGCAGTCCTTTTTAGCCCGAACATTGCCTTTTCCTTCCTAGATTGAGTTTGGAGCTGAGTGGAGCTAGGGCACTGGGGCACTTCCTTCACTCCTTGTTTTGAGCAACATGTCCATGAGAAAGAGACTGCACATCATTAGCTGTTCTATGGGGTGTTCATTTCATTTCTTGTGTTGAGCTAAAATCAGAGACATTACAGACTTGTGAGAATTGAGTCCTCTTAACTTAGGTTGTTTGATTTTGAAAGGTGTTCAGAACTTAAGTGATAGAAATATTCTGTGCATATATACAATAAATACTTTTCCCATTTCTTTGTGACTGTTTCCAGCCCTGTCTTCTCTAGATGCACTGTTAACTTGATTTTTGTGTCTGTGTTTTTTAAAATGTCATAAAATACATGGCAAGTCTATGTTTTTGTCATGACTTAATATTCACAAGTGATGTCAGTTTTGTGATTTGAGCCCATGCGTCAGTGACACCAGTTTCTTTCTGTTTCTGAAGTTCTTTTGTTGTTGTTTTTAAATATTCCTGTGTCTTTCTTTGGCTTAGAGTATAAAATTTGCTCAGAATATGTCCCCAGCCTCCCAACTCTATAACTATAGTGTCATTACAGATCTTCATGGTAGCCTTTATAACATTGTGATTATTGGTTTATATTTCTGTTTCCCTAACCAGACTGAGTTCCTTTGAAGAGGGGGGGCCTGAGTTTAGGTCTGTTCCATAAGTTAGTTCTTATTAAATGTCTGTTGGATCAATGAAGTGGTAAGAATTCTTAGAGGGTGGGGTTTTTGTAAGTTTATTACTCTCAGAACGGGTGGTGCTGGCATTCAGTAGCGTTTGTTCTGATTTGTGTCCTCTTGGGTCCTTTTCTAACAGGTGTAAATCTGAACTTGAAAGAAGCCAACAGGCTGCACAGGCTGCAGATGTCTCTCTGCATCCATCCGCGACACCACAAAAAATCTTCGCAACTCCACTAACACCAAGTCAATATTATAGTGGTAAGGATTTTTTCCCTTCATAGCTCTTTTACTGGAATTTTAATTTGGTCAAAGAAATCAATTAGTTCATCTTTGAATTCAGCTTTTAACTTGGGCATTAAAAAAAAAACCTTTTAATTTGGGCATTAATGCACTACATATCCATTTGTGTATCTTTTGAGCTATATGGAGCTACCAGGTTAAGCCTTTAAACTTTTCATTTTAGCCTGTAGTGTGTTTTAAAAATAATTCAGTTTCAGAATATTCAAACCCAGCATCTGTTTAGTGTACCGCAATATTCATTTCTAGACTATTGAAATGATTGTTGATCTGTGAATTCCTTTATGAAATCAATGACTGAAGTAAAACTGTTTCTCATTGTCTTTGTTTAGTTTCCAAGTATGAAGATCTAAAAGAAAAATATAATAAAGAAGTTGAAGAACGAAAAAGATTAGAGGCAGAAGTGAAAGCCTTGCAGGCTAAAGTAAGTTAATTATGGGCCTTACAATAGAGTATGCAGTTGAAGAAGTACTTTGATATATAGGTGTCCAGGGTTGGAGAAAAATCTGGTTCACGTAGAGCTTGACACATTTTTCTTACACTAAGAAGATAAAGTTCCTGGCTGATTACCTTAGTTGTAATTACTTTTTGGTTTTTAAAAAGTAGGAGTAAAAAAAAATAGTGTGGGGAGATCAGTTTATCCCTAGACATTAGATGTTCTTAAAATTCTACAGAAACTGTAGCCATATAATTATTTCCCTATTGAGATCTAATGGTAAGGAGGGGGCGGGGGGGGACCAGGGTTATTCCAGACACTCACTGTTTGGCTTTATCACCTGGAGGCCATTGATTGCTTCCCACTCAGGCCTTACGGAATGTGCTGATTACCACCAGGGACAAGGGGTTTGAGGGTCATTATTTATGTGCTGTTTATTTAGAGGAGAACGTTATCAAGATAATCTACCCAATTCTGTTAAATAAGTTGCTGGACAGGGTTTTAAGCTCCATCTTGGTATGGGTAAATAGGCAGAGAGGTGGGCGAAGAGGTTTGTTTAGTGTCAGCAAAAGAAACAAAATGCAGGTTTTAGAAACCCCTGCTTCTAGTTAAGGGACTGACCCTAAATATACCCGGTATCTGTAGAATTTACCCTTACCATTTCTGCTTGTGTGATGTTATTTGCTAAAAAAAAAAAAAAAGGTAGGGGGGAAACAACAACAACCTAAATCCTAGTTTTGCACTTAGTGTTTTATTTCTGCTAACCACAAGAACTCGCTGAGATGGGACCATTCACACAGTTTAAGGCTGGATTTATAAGTAGATACCTTACATACTGAGGATCACAAAGTACCTATGAGAGCTTTAACACTTTCAATTATTCTCATGCCCTTGACCCTTGTTTGGAGGTCAACAGGATTCTGATATGTAGCAAAGGTGTTTCTTCTCGCGGTGAATAAAAATTAAACGGTAATTCTCTGGTTTGTCATAGAAATATCATGTGCTTTGTGATCCATTTCAGCCATTGGTGCCCACTTTGCTCCTGACATTGATTCCCAGAGTTTTTCTGGTGGAGAAATCTGAGTCTCTACAAACATGAAACCTCTCTGTGTGGCAAGAAAAGCTCTTGCTATAAAAAAATTTAACGCACCATCTATAGCCATGTCTTGATATTTGTCAGAATGGAAGTAGAGAGAACAAAAGAAGGAGATAAGGGGGATTTATTTGACGAGCACTGAGAAATACATAGAATTGTCGAATCATTGTACACCTGAACTAATATAACACTGTACGTTAACTATACTTGAATTAAAAAAATAAAGAATTCAAAGCAGTAGCAAATCCACAAATGTGTATTATATAACATAAAACACCTTATATGACATTTTTGGGAGTGGTATGGTGGAAAGTGAGATTCTTGAAAGAGTTCTTTGGGTTAATATTTAATTTTGATCCTCTTTGTGCAAAGCAAGTGGAGGAGGTGACCAAGGACAGGCAAGCAAAGGACACCAAATTTCAAAACTCAAAATGGTAGTGAATACTCACTTGTGTTTAATGGAGTATATGAGGGATGCAGAATAAATATAAAAACTGAGCCCATTTTAATAGATTGGGACTCAAATGGTACTGGTTTAGCCTTCAATGCTATAGTCTAACCATTAGACAGTTCCTGTCCTGGATATTGGGACCTAAAGGTTCCCTTGACTTGATAAACATGCTTTCTTGATATGCAGTGGAAGTGGTAACTTCTTGGCATTATGTCTTTATGTGCTATCTGAAAATAAATAGCCTTGAATATTGAGATGTTTAAAGGGCTCTAAAGAGTTTCTGTCTTTACAGAAAGCGTGTCAGGCTATTCCCCAAAGCACAATGAATCACCGGGACATTGCACGACATCAGGCTTCCTCATCCGTGTTCTCGTGGCAACAAGAAAAGACCCCAACTCGGCTTTCATCTCATGCTCTAAAAACTCCGATTAGGAGAGATTTCTCTGCATCTCACTTTTCTGGGGAACAAGAGGTGACTCCAAGTAGATCAACTTTGCAAACAGGGAAAAGAGATGCTAATAGCAGTTTCTGTGATAATTTGGGCAATTCTCACCTTTTGGACCAATTAAATGCCCAGAATCAAGGTAAATTGAGCTAAATTAAATTGAAATTAAATTTTCAATTTTGATAATTTTGGGGGTGATGCCAGATGTTTTTAATCCTAAAAGGTGCTTGTGTGTTTTGTTAGACATTTCAAAGCTCTGTATCTCAATCTGGTGATGTGAAATACTGTTTTTGGGATAAAAGATACCACAATTTTGGAATGTCCTTTTATCAGTACTATAAAGCTGGTGCCCGGAAGCCTTCCGAAGTAGTCTGAGTGGCTTTGTCTTTCCAGAAGTAGGGTGAGTAGGTTACAGTTGACACGCCCCACGCTTCTCCTGTGTCTTCTTTGGTGGCCCATGGAACAAGCCTGGGGTCTGGCCAGCTTTGGCCACAGGTGTGGCATGTGTCTGCGGGGCAGCTTTCTCTGCACTGCCAGGTTGTCCATATGGGAGCAAACCTGTAACCTTGGCTGGAGTACCACACCACAGCTGACCGCCAAGGGCACCAGGTGGTGTTTTGGAATCTACTCTGCAGACGACGATAATTTCCAGTGCTATGATATATAGAAAATCACCGTCCGTGATCACTGGTGAGAATTGTCATGCCGCCAATGCCATTGGAACTGGTATTGTTTGTATGTCGGAAAAAAAATGAAAAAAAAAATTATTGTTAATTTTGGCAGTATAGGAGGTTCACACTGTCTTGATCTTTACTGGAGGTAAAGCTACCAGAGAATACAGGAGGGTGAATTTTGCACTGCTTAGCATTCATTTGCATGGATATGGGCACAAAACAAATAGTAGTTTGCCAGTGTATAAAACCAAGTGGTAATTTTTACGTAGGGTATTATATGGGATACACTTTTTGCAGCCTCAATAAGATACTCTTCATGATTTTAGAAAACCATTTTCTTTCCCGAGTTTCTCTGAAAACATTAGAAAATGTGTTTCTCTTGCTTCCCCTGGATATTTGAATACAAATGACAATAGAGACTAACCATTGAATTAAATCCAATTAAAGTAGTTTCTGTGTTTAGTGTGAATTAATTTATATTTGTCCCACCAAAGATTTCAGAGCAGATTAATAACAAATGATACATTCTCAATTGAGCTGTAAATTTTTTGTCAAAAATATATATTAATTAAAGTGTGGGTTTTGTTTGTGATTGAAGAGCTAAGGAACAAGATTAGTGATTTGGAACTACATCTGCAAGGACAAGAAAAAGAAATGAAAGGCCAAGTGAATAAATGTCAAGAACTCCAACTCCAGCTGGAGAAAGCAAAAGCGGAATTAATTGAAAAAGACAAAGTTCTGAATAAAAGTAGGGATGAACTGGTGAGATCAACAGCACAGTATGACCAGGCATCAACCAAGGTACTGGACTTCTCATGAGTTGTTGAACGCCTACATTTCATCATACAGTTCTTTGGAAATTTTTTTCGTACAATACTTTAACACTTAAATTTATGAAATAAATGTGAGTAATGAACCTCATTAATACATACTAGCAGTATTTGTGCAGTTGAAGTAGTAGGTTCGTTTAGAGTTGGGTAGATGTGGGGTCAAATCCATACTGCACGTTTTCCTGGCAAAGTGACTTGGGCAAGTTACTGAGCTCTTGTCCATCTAAGTGGGTGGGGAAGAATGAAGATTATGTATATATGGCACTTGACACATACAAGAGGCGGCTAAGTAATGGAGCTTTAAAAGAGGCAGGGGCGCCTGGGTGGCTCAGTCTGTTAAAAGTCTGCATTCTGGGGGCGCCTGGGTGGCTCAGTTGGTTAAGCAATTGCCTTCGGCTCAAGTCATGATCCCGGAGTCCTGGGCTCAAGTCCCACATCAGGCTCCTGGCTCAGCAGGGAGCCTGCTTCCCCCTCTGACCCTCTCCTCTCGCATGCTGTTTCTCACTGTCTCTCTCGCTCTCTCTCAAATAAATAAATCTAAAAAAAAAAGAGTCTGCCTTCTGTTCAGGTCATGATCCCAGGGTCCTGGGATCAAGCCTCATGTCAGGATCCCTGCTCAGCCAGGAGCCTGCTTCTCCCTCTCTGTTTGCCCCTCCCCCTTCTTGTGCTCTCTCACTCTATCTCAAGTGAATGAATTAAATCTTCAAAAAAAAAAATAAAAGAGGTTTAGGACATATGATAGAATTTAATTGATCTCTTTTTTGATCCAATAAATGTACTCCTGTGATTTAATCTTAAGGCTCCAATTAAGGCCAAGCTTCTTAGCGCATTTGAGGGTGTTTTGTTGTTGCTTTGTCCCTATCTTAACTCTAGTGTTTTATTCTCTTTTTTCTATTCATTCATTCATGTACTCATTTGACAAATATTTGTTGACTGCCTACTGTATGTCCATCACTGTTTAGACCAGGGGAATGAAGCAGTGAGAAGATAGACAAAAATCATTGCTCTTGGGGAGCTTCATCCTAGTGGTGGATGTAACATAAATATATAGTCACATAGATAATATTGTGTATGGTGACAAGTGCAGAGAAAAATGAATTATCTTCTAGGACCAACTGTGATTGGTGTTTCCTGAACCCAGTCTTCATCTGGGTCCAGTGTTTCTTTTTTTTTAGATTTATTTATTTTAGAGCATGTGCACATGCAGGGGGCAGGGGCCGAGGGAGAGAGAGAATCTCAAGCAGACTCCCTGCTGAGTGGGGAGCCTGATGTGGGGCTTGATCCCATGACCCTGAGATGACCTGAGCTGAAATCAAGAGTGAGATGCTCAACCAACTGAGTCACCAGGCTCCCCTCTCTGGGTCCAGTGTTTTGCTTATGTTTGCCTTTCTTCCTGGTATACTCTTTATACACACACACGCACGCGCACACACACACACACACACATATATATATTTCTGGATTTTATTTACAATTTGTTGAGGATTTTTTTGTCTATATTCATGAGGGATATTGGTCAGCTATTTTGTACTTTTGTTCTGTCTTTGTCTGGTATTTGTATCAGAGGTCATAGTAGCTTCATAAAATGAACTGGGAACCGTACCCTTCTATCTTTTGGAAGAGATTGTGTAGAATCGGTGTTATTTCTTCTTTATGTGTTTGATAGAATTCTCCATGAAACCATCCAGTCCTGGAGATTTCTTTTTTGGGAGTTTTAAAATTACAAATTTAAGGGGCACCAGAGCAGGGCGGGGGCACAGTCGGTTGAGTGTCTGACTCTTGGTTTCGGCTCAGGTCATGATTTTCATGGGTCATGAGATCAAGCCCCACGTTGGGCTCTGCACTCATTGTGGTGTCTACTTGAGATTCTCTCCCTCTCCTTCTGCTTCTCCCACTCATGCACTCTCTTTCTCAAATAAATAAGTCTTTAAAAAAATTACAAATTTAATATTTAAAATAGATATGTAGCTATGAAAATTATTTCATACTGGATAAGTTGGTATAGCTAGTGTTTTTATTTTATTTATTTATTTTTAAAGATTTTATTTATTTATTTGACAGAGAGCGAGAGAGGGAACACAAGCAGGGGAAGTGGGAGAGGGTGAAGCAGGCTTTCTGCTGAGCAGGGAGCCTGACACAGGGCCCAATTCCCAGGACCGTGGGATCATAACCTGAACCGAAGGCAGACGCTTAATGACTGAGCCACCCAGGTGCCACTAGCTTTTGTTTTTAGAGGAAATGGTCCATTTTATCTAAATACTTAAAAATATAGTTATTTGTAGTATTTTCCTATTCTTTTGATGTTGTTAGGTCAGGTGATATTCTCTGTTTCTGATATTTCTGTCTTCTCTTGCTTTCTCTTTGTCAGTCTTGCTGGAGATGTATCAATTTTGTCAGTAATAATAATAAAATTTGTCAGTTTGTTGATCTTTTATTGATCTTTCCAAAGAATCAGCTCTTTGGTTCATTTATTTTCTTTTCTTCAACTTGATGTATTTTTGCTCCTTTATTTCCCTCTGCTTGCTTTGGGTTTATTTTGCTCTTCTTTTTCTAGGTTGTTGAAGTGGGGAGCTTAGATGATTGATTTGAAACTTTTCTTTTCCAGTGTAGGCATTTAAAGCTATAAATTTCCTTCAGTACTGCTTTAACTGTGTCCTACAAATTTTGATATATTGTATTTTTGTTTTTATTCCATTCAGTGTATTTTTACTTTATTTTTTTTTCAATGCATTTTTAAAACATTTTGCTTGAGACTTCCTCTTTGCCCCATGGATTACTTAGAAATACCTTGTTAAATTTCCAAGTGTTTGGAGATTTTCTTCTTTCTGTTATTGATTTGCATTGTGTTCAGAGAACATACTCTATGATTTCAATTCTTCTAAGTTTGTTGAGGCTTGTTTTATGGCCTAAGACAATGGTCTATCTTGGTATATGTTTCATGGGCACTTGGGAAAAAAGTGTATTCTGTTGTTGGGTGAAGTGTTCTAAAATTTTCCTTAGCCCCAGATTTTCAGTTGGTTGATGGTGTTGTTGAATTCTTCTATATTTTTGCTGATTTCCTGTCTATTAGTTGTTGAAAGGAGGATAGTGAGAGTCTTCCAAGATTGTTGATTTATCTATTTCTCCTGTCAGTCCTCAGTTTTCGCTTCACATATTTTATAACTGTTGTTTGGTGCATACACATTTAGGATTGCTGTGTCTTCTTGGCGGATTGACCTTTATCGTTATATAATAGCCCTCACTGTCTCTGGAAATTTTCTTTATTCTGAAGTCTACTCTTTCTGGTATTAACATAGCCACTCCAGCTTTCCTTTAATGTTTGCATGATGTATTTCCTTCTGTCTTTTGATTTTCAGCCTATCTTTTTATTATATTTGAAGTGAGTTTTATATAGACAGCATATAGTTGGGTATATTTTTTAATTCATTTTTCTACCAACTGTCTTTTAATTAGCATGTTTAGGCCATTTACATTTAATGTAATCATTGATTGGTCATGGTTTAAAACTGCCATCTTATTTTTTATTTTCTGTTTCTTTTTGTTTTTCATTTTGTTCATTTCCTGTGGGTTACTCAAACATTTTGTAGAATTTCATTTTATCTAGTGGGTTAGATGTATTTCTTTGTAGAGCTTTTATAGTGACTGCTCTAGATAATATATATACACATCATTTGTTGGTCTGTTGGTGTTGTCATGTAAGAAGTTCTAATGGATTACAGAAAATTTACTGCTCTTTTCATCCTTTTACCCTCCCCTATTTATAATACAATTTTCTTAAGTGTTTTCTCTACCTACATTTAGAACTACATTAGATGGTGTTATAATTTTTGCTTTAACTGTCAAACATAACTTAGACTTTCTTTCTCTTCTCCAGTTTTCTATCATTTATGCCAATATTGTTGGACCTTCCAAGGTCCCTTCTTTCATCATTTCCTTTTTGTTTAGAGAACTTCTTTTAGCCTTTTTTTTTTTTTTTAGGGTTGGTCTACTGGCCACATAATTCTCTTAGTTTTCTTTCTTTGGAAATGTCTTGATACTTCATCCTGGAAGGTGTTTCCTCAGGATATAGGGTTTCTGGGTTGACTGTTCTCTTCTTTCAGCACCATCATGTTTTTCCCTTGGGTCCCAAAGTCCCTAGTCACTCAGTCTTCTTATCTCCTTTCAGAGCTTTCTTAACGTTTGTGAAGGGTTTTGAATTGTTCTCAATCTGAGGAATAGAGAAATGTACGTTTATTCTATCTTCCTGGAAGCAGTAGTCTAGGTTCATTTTTTTAGACATTCTCATAGTGCAATGCTTTGCACAGAGATATTGTTGATAAATACTGATTCATTGTATGAAGGTGCAGTGGAGGATCAATGGGAACATGACCTACCTTGACCAACATATTTATTCACTTTGTGCAGTCTGAGTTTGTAGGTTGGTTTTCTAAGTTAGAGAGACTTGGATTTGAGCCCTGGTTCTGCCACATGCCACTTGTTTTGCTTTTGAATTCTGAGCCTCCCCTGCCGAATCAATAAAATGGTGTTAATGTCTGTGTTACAGGGTTGATGTAAAGATTGAGATAAATTTTGTAAAGGCTTTAGCATAGTGCCTGGCACATGGTGAGTTTATAATAATACATTAGTTATTATTGCATTGAGTTCCTTGTCATTTAAGCTTTTTTTCAGTTGCATTTCTGCCAACTCAGGCCTTCCTATATATGAGTTAACTTATCCTATTATATTTTGTCTTACTGGTTTTGGAGTGACAGGATCACTGAATCTTTGTCCTATCTAGCATATTTGATAAGGTCTCTTCTTACCAGATCATGAATTAAAACTTTTGACTAGGACAGTGCTGAGAACACAGCTCTGGCTTTCTATTAGAAACTTTCCTCCAGGTTCTTCAGATTCATTTGTTCAGTGCTTTCTGGATACCTTTTTTTTTCCAGTGAGCTTCAAATCTACCTAACTGAAAATTCAGACTACCTTTCTCCCTCTTGCCCCTTAGGATAATAGGACCTGATCAGATGTGTTGCTGAAATCAAATTATGCTTTGTTTATGCTGTTCCCTGACCTACCATTAGAATTACCCGTCAAGTAGAATGGAACTAATTTAATCAAAATCAATACCATATTCTTTTGTCAATGTATGCTGTTTCTAGTGTGCTTCTTTTCCAAGTATTTGCAAACTGTGTGGGATACAGAGTTTGAACTCATGTAGAAACATTGAGGCTGACAGCAAACCTGGAGTTCAGCACCCACATTTCACAGTTGAAAACTCAGGCCCAGGGTGCTGAGTGAGTGCCCAAGGTCATATACTACATATTTTCAAGGATTTCAGCTAGGACACTATTTTAGAATATTATGGAACATTCATGACACCTAGTGGTCAGCTAGTCTTACATGGATTGTGCATCGTCAGAATGTATCAGAATGTCATTGTAAAACATTTAAATAAAATATGAGCATATTCTAAAGGCTCTTTTTAACCTGTTTTGTAGTAAGAAAGTTGTTGATTCTGAGATCTGTTAGTGGAATGTGTTGCAGTTTGAAGGAGGACCAGGAGAGGGCACCAAGGGTTCATTCATCTCTGCCTTGCGTGGGCTTTTTTTTCCCTGAGAATTGTCAACCACCAAAATTTCGACCATTATCTGGGCAATGATTTTTATCTGGGTTATTTACTGCTGCATCTCCCGTACCTAGCACAGTGCTTGACATATAGTTGGCTCTTGATAAATATTTGTTTGATTCATATTTGTTATTATTATAAATAATTTCTGTAATACTTTTCCTAGGAGATTTAAAAATTCAAGAACAGTAAAGATAATGGAAAGGTGTCTTAATGTCCAAAGCAGTGGATTAATTTGAACCAGTGGCTCAATTATTTTTCTTTTTGAAATTGGTATATTTAAAGTACTGATAGTTGGAAAATCATTTAGTCATTAATGACCAGCTTTATTTTTTTCATCTTTGGTTAGTTAATAATTGGTGTCTGGTCTTCTGGCAAAGTATTACGTAGTGTTTTCTTTTCTTCTAACTTTTCCCTTAAATTTCTAATATTTCTAATAGTTCTGAATGATATTATAGTGATTCTCTGAGAAATACTTTAGAAGAGAGATTTGCCAAATTGGGACACATTTCTTTTAGACCAGGGAGTTCTCCCCCACTCACATGAGGTGTTCTTATTCTTCCCTGGAAATTTACAGTTGTTTTGTAGGGCATTTTAAGGATTTAAACACCGTGGGGAAGATTCAGAGGACATTTTGCTCCAATTTAATTTTAGAAGGGCATCCTAAGTTTTGATTTAGTTCATGTTTTAAAACTTATTTTAAGGGTATTGGCTATGTACAAAAACAAAAGAATGTTCTTTGTGTTGCTTATGGCAGCTTGGTTAAAAACCGGTTGTGATACTCACTGGAGTGCTGTGAACCTTCAGAAATTTAAAATGGCATAGCGGGAGCCTTGTGGAAAGAGGCATTTTAATATTTAAAATTTCCCACAAAATCTATTATGCTTGAAACAGACTATCATATGAGGGTCATGGGTACCCACTGATTATTTTACAGCTTCTAAATTACACAGATCAACATCACTGCATTTGAACGTCTCATTTCTATGCAACAAAATGTTAGGTGAATCTTTATTCAGAAATGCTGATTTCTTTTTTCATAGTGCAAATTATGAAGTATTTATTTAAATGGTCTAATATTTTATATCTTTTCTAATATTTCCCAAGTACAAACTTTAGGTGTGCTAAAATAATTATAGTGGTTTTAGTATTTGTTGATCATTTTATTTTATTCTATATATTTATTTTTTAAAGTTTTATTTATTTAAGTAGGGGCACCTGGGTGGCTCAGATGGTTAAGCGTCTGCCTTTGGCTCAGGTCGTGATCTCCGGGTCCTGGGATTGAGCCCCACGTCAGGCTCCTGACTCAGCGGGGAGCCTGCTTCTCCCTCTGCCTCTCCCCACTGCTGGCACTGTCTCTCTTTCTCTCTCTCTCAAATGAATAAATAAAGATCTCTTTTAAAAAATTTTTATTTAAGTAATCTCTACACCCAATGTGGGGCTTGAACTCACAACCCCAAGATCAAGAGTCACAAGCTGTACTGACTGAGCCAGTGAGGTGCCCTTGCTGATCATTTAAACTCCACCTTTTTAGTGAAACAAAAATGTCAAAACACATAGATGAACTTGAACCAGACCTAATTTTTCTAAAATTCAAAATATTTGCTTCTCACCTCAAATAATTTTGTATTGACCATTTTTATTTGTTGTTAAGTGTACTGCATTGGAACAAAAACTGAAAAGATTGTCTGAAGATTTGAGTTGTCAGCGACAAAACGCAGAAAGTGCCAGATGTTCTCTGGAACAGAAACTCAAGGAGAAAGAAAAGGAGTTGCAAGAGGTAAGGTGAATGGATTCATGAGGAGTGCGCATTTCATAGTTTCGTCATTCGAGAAGCGTTGCTGTTTGTTGTAAGAACACTTGGGGTGTTCTGCGAGCAGGGAACTCCTTTGTGAGGAAGAGGTTCCCCGTATTTTCCTTCACACTTCCATCTTTCAGTTTTCCATTGGAGAAGCGACTCAGTAGCCAGAATGTTCTTTTTTATCCGTGTCCTCTGATTTCGTGGAAATTTGATACCGAGTAGGAAAGAATCCTGTCTCTTCTTTCAAACACTCTCAGTTGTGAAGGAAGTTGTATCCTGATCTCCACCTGTTTCTAAAGCCTGTGGGTTGGCGAATACATTAGAAAGGTAGTTGATGCGGTGGGGAAAGAAGTTGGCAGACACATTAGGGCTGAAGACGCCTTTCCAGGAGTATTGCTGCCAGTGGACGGTGAGTTAGCCTGGCAGAGTGTATCCTATGGGGTGAGGCTCTCTAGTCTTTCAGCAAGAGCGCCTGGAAATGGAAATCTGCTATCCCGATGTGGTTATCGAAGTTAACTGGTGGCATATCCTTGTTGTCATTCTAAATTGTGAGTGGTGTTACGATGTTTGACATCTTAAACCCCATTTTTGAGTGTCTTCGATTTCCCAGCTGAGTTGTGACCATGGCAGCTCAGCTCTACTCCCTTTTGCCCCTGGACTTGTCGAAAGAGAGATGAAGAATTTAAGATTGGGGATGGGACGGAAGCTGGCTGCTCTCCATGTGGCCAAGTGGCAGACTCCTTCCCCTTTCCTCCGAAGGCCTGCGTTTGATCACCGGGACCGGTGCTAAAGACAGTTAATGTTTATCATTAAGTGAATGGTCAGCCTGGCTCCCTATTGTCTCCTGCTCTTTCAGTGCGGCCTGGCCCGCCGTAGGAGGCTTGCCCACCCACCCTGGAGTCTCCTCGTTACCCGCCGGCAGTCCGACTGACGCGTGTGCCTTTGGTGTTTCAGGAGCTCTCCCGTCAGCAGCGCGCCTTCCAAGCCCTGGACCAGGAGTGCGGGCAGATGAAAGCCAGACTCACGCAGGAGTTACAGCAAGCCAAGAACGCTCGCAATAGCCTGCAGGCTGACCTGGATAAAGTAGGGAGCCAGCTTATTTCTCTCCTCCAGTAGTCCCCCTTTTCCTTATTCATGCATTTTCTATACTGCAGCTGACACTGTGATGCTTTTAAAGAAGAATGGCTCTAACCTCCCTTTCCTTACTTAACCAAGGAAGAGAACAAACTGAGTCTGAGTCTGGGGTTTCTCATTTACAGAAAGAGGGAAGTGAGTGAGCATCTCAGACCTGAAGGTCTGTGGAGGGGTGTGATGTTCCAGTGGTTCTCGGGCATATCACCAGGTGGGAGACCTCCCGAGGAATTTATGCCCCCCAAACAGTCAAAGCGCTGAAAACTATCATCCTTTTACTTATTTAACACTTACTCCAAAAATGATCTCATCCAGTTTCTGGCCTTGCCTCTCATCTATATGATGACAGCCCTTGTATTATTATCTTCAGCCGGGACGCTTGTTCTGAACTTTCAGGCTTGCGTGTGTACCTTGTATTTCCACTCACCTGTCCAACAGGCATCTCACACTTGGTGGGGTAATAGCTGAACTCCCGCTATTTGTTTCAAATGTGCTCCTCCCGTAGTCTTCCTTACCCCAGTAAATAGCAGTTCCATCCTTCATATCACTGAACCCAGATCACCGCCATGTCATCTTCAACTCTACTTTTTCTCTCACACCTCAAAGCCTTCCATTAGGATTCTCCTGACTCCACCTTTATTCAAACACACACGTGTGTATTGCGTGTCTGTATGTGCCTATGTATTTTTGCATATGTGTGGATATTATATGTATAGCTATATTTAAACCTTTTTGTGTTAACATACAACATCTACATAGAACAAATTTACAATTCAATGAATTATTATAAGGAATGCTCTCTTAGAACCATTATCTGCGTCAGGGCATAGAATCTTTTCAGCTACTCCCGGAAACCCTCCATTTGCTTCCTCCCTCCTTGCTAAGAATAAACCTGATTTGTATGACTTTTTTTTAAAGGGAGTAAATATAAATTATGTTTTACTGGTTTTCAGGTTTTTGAATAGAAATATGAACAAAACAATCATAGTTATAGAATAGACTGTATATATTTATACAAAATTTACCATTCTTTGCCATTCGGTGTATTTGTGTGAATTATAATACAAAATGGTGCCCCTCTGAAAGACATTGTGATAACCATACAAACCCACGAGGACTAGGAATGAATGACGCCCCTTGGAGTTGCAAAACCATAAACTCAGGCCCTGAATAAATGAACAGAACTTGAAGAGTAGAGAGAAGACAGAAAGATTGCTAGAAATGCATGTTTATACATTTTACTTAATAGGGAGTCAAGATACATATTTAAAGTTATTGGATCAAGAAAAAGAGACTTAAGTTTATTATTTAAAATTATAATATTAAAGCAATGGAAGAAGCCAATGTATTTTTTACTAAAATTTGTAAATTGAAGGGGAGGTAGGTATTACTGTATGTGGGAATCCACTGATAAATCCTTAATGTTGTTATAAGATTGTTATTTCAATTAATGAAAGTAGCCATCGAAAGAATAAAAATAGAAATGGTAAAAACTATATAGAAAGAGGGATGGTGTTGGACAGAAATCAGTTTTTTATTTCCTACTGTTCTGTGCTGTTCTTTTGGGTTTTTTTTATCATGCATTTAGATTACTATTATAATCATTTTAAATAATGGCACTGCATATTTATGAACAAATGATTATGTCCAATACATAGTTTGTAAAAGCTATGCCAACCATGAGCTTTGCTTATCTCTGGACTATACAGTTAAGCAATTTTGTTTTATTTTGGCTTTTGCCTCTTTTTAATTTTTCCATAATAGTCCTGTGTAATATGCTTTATAAAGAAAATAAATACTAGATTGCCATCAACAACTGAAACATTAAAACCCATATTTTAGGAAATTGGTAGTAAACTCTTCCATCCCTTCCCTCTGATTCTGTTATCTCCCTGAATTTCTGTCTAATGAACGTTGGTGTCTAGCTTTGTGTTTTATACTGGCTATGGCTACTGTTCACCATCGCTGGTCCCCTGTCTGGTCTAGGACACTGTCATTTCTCACCTGGATTACTGTACTAGCCTCCTCACTGTTCTCCTTCCTTCTGGACTTGCCCCTCACAGTCTGTTTTCAACCAGCCGCCGGAGTGAGTCATGCTGACCTCTCTTAACCAACTGAGCCACCCAGGCGCCCCAATGTTGACCTTTCTTAGTAGAGGAACCAGAGATGGGGATGCAGCCAAAATGGGAGAGATGACACTCCCTGACATCTGTTAGGTACTAAGAGTTAGTCCTCTATCTGGCTAACCAAGGTTGGGGAAAAACAAAACAAAACAAAAAACCCCAAAACCAAACAAACAAAAAACTCCTTTCCTAGGATAAATTGTTAGTGTTTAATGGGCTTCCTCCAAGGTTTTTAATAAAAAGGCCTTTTTGTTCGTTTGTTTGTTTTTTTTTTTTGGCCTAAGCCTTGCTTTTATTAGATGTTTTGTAGTTTATTTAATTATTCCATCGGGGGATGTTTAGGTGGTCAACATCTTCTTGTTCATTGTAGCCCTGGTGGTAACATCCTTGGGTAACATCATGGGTGTTTCTGTGTTGGTGTTTCTGTAGGACAGGTTTCCATGTGTGAAATTGGCTGTCTCAAGGGCATGTGTATTCTCCCTTGTGATCGATTCTGACAAATTGCCCTTCAAAAAGTTGTAATGTACCTTTTCACCTGGTTGGTGTAAGAGAGGTCCTGTTTTCGCCCATCCTTGTTACTAGGAGATAGTCCTGGTTTTATAAATTTTACTAACTAAGGAGTGAAAAAGTCATCGTTGTTTCATTTCATTCTTCCTTGACTACCACTGAGGATGTTTCTTTCAGAAGTTGATTTGCCATTTGTATTTTTTGGTTTGTCTGTTTCTGTTATTTACTCTTAAAAATTCAGTTTACCTTTTTCTAAATTGAACCATAGATGTGCTTTGTTTGTTATATCACAGATATATAACTTTTAATCTGTCACACAGCAAGTATGTCTCCGAGTTTGTTTCTTAGCTCAGCTTTTTGTTTTGGTTGTTTATTACTGTTTCATTGTTTCACTTTTTTGTGGTTAAATTTATTTTTTTTCTCTGTGGCTCCCTCCCCACACCCAGCTCTTTTTCCTCTTCTATCTGCTGTCACCCAAGTTGATCTGATGCTATTTTAAGTTAAACCTATAATGCTATATTCAGCTGTAACATAGATCATGTCTCACCCAAAATAGATGGCGTCAGTTCTTATATTCCATGACCATTTTATTTAAGAATAAATAATTTATTTAAAAAGTAAAGAACAGGGGCACCTGGGTGGCTCAGTCGGTTAAGCATCTGCCTTCAGCTCAGGTCGTGATCCCAGGGTCCTGGGATCGAGCCCCGTGTTGGGCTCCCTGCTCAGTGGGGAGTCTACTTCTCCCTCTCCCGCTCCCTCTCACCTTGCTCTTGCTTGTTCTCTCTCTCTCTCAAAAATAAATAAAATCTTAAAAAAAAAAAAAAAAAGTAAAGAACATAAAAATGAAACTTTGCCTTTTTTCCTCTTTGCAGGTCACATCAGGAAAGCACCAGCTAGAAAAAACTTTGGAAGAGTTTAAGCAGAAGTTCTGCCGAACTGAACAGTTGTTACAGGCGAGTCAGGTCAAGGAAAATGAGCTGAGGAGAAGCAGTGAGGTAAGTGAGGCATTGAGATGAGAATTTATCAACTTCTGTGTGGGATGAAGTGGGAGGGTACAAGAGAATTCCTATACTGTTTCTCCGTCTTTTATCATGACCGTATGTAATTTTCCCTTTTTATTTGTCGCAAGTATTACAAAGTGTTTTGTATGTAACCTACAACATAGAACATATGTACTTTTTTTTTCACTTTGCATTCGTATGATTACTAATAAGCATCTAGCAATTATAGGTAAACATGACTTGTATTAAGATCATGTACTACTTTTTTTTTTTTTAAAGATAATTTTAGATTACCCGAAAAATGGAAAGAAGTGGAAAGGAACAAAATTTTCTATTCTAAGAGGAAAGAGACAAAATTGGTGATGGGAAGTATAATTTAAATCCCCTTTCTAAGGGCTTGCTTTTGAGTCATCAAATAGTAACTTTGTGGAAAATCACAGATTTAAATAAAAAGCGATGACAGATGAAGAATTTCTAGATTTAAAATTCTTGTAAGGGGCTCCTGGGTGGCTCATTTGGTTAAGCCTCGGACTCTTGATTTTGGCTCAGGTCTCAGTCTCAGGGTGGTGAGATTGAACCCTGTGTCAGGCTCCACAGTGGCCATGGAGCCTGTTTGAGATTCTCTCCCTCTGCTCCAACTCCCACCTGTGTGCATTCTCTCTCTCTCTCTCTCTTTCTCCAAAAACAACAATGACAACAAGTAATTGTTAGTTGTTGCCCTAACTTCCAAAGTCATGTTGGCATGTGCAAGGTTGACAGTGTCCTTTTTTTGGAGATTCATGCTTATTACACAAAATGGTGGATGAAGTTTCTCCAGTGGCTTGGATATGAGAAGATTGGCCTGATAATCGTTATAGGATTTTATCCATACTTTAATTCAGCTTCTCTCTTTATTTAGTGGCCTGGAGTTTATTTTATTTATTTATTTTTTTTAAAGAGGGAGAGGAGAGGTTGAAGGGACAGAGGGAGAGAGAGAATCTTAAGCTGACTCCCCCGCCCAGCACGGAGCTTGACGTGGGGTTTGATCCCACAACCCTGAGATCATGACCTGAGCTGAAATCAAGAGTTGGATGCTTAACTGACTGAGCCACCCAGGCGCCCTGGCCTGGAGCTTGTCTGAAAAGGCTTATCTGGGGACAGTTAGTAGATTGAAACAGGCTGACTAGGACCATAAATCAGCACTGTAATCTTACAAAGAAGCATGGCAGAACGGGAGTTTTTTCTCTATCAAATGTCACAGGAAAGAATTTTTCCCACTTCTTCAAATCTTTTGCAATCATTTTTTAGACCAGAGAACCAAAGAACAGTTCTTTATCAGAGGGGGAACATCTACATGTATTTATCCCTGCAGCTTTGAAGAGCGTATCCTGATTGCCAGATCCAAACATCTGTCAATAGCAAAGAGGTGATAACTAGAGTGGCAGGTCTCGGAGGGGTCATGCTGCTGGGGACAGGAGGCCACAGCCCCAGCCACCCCAGGGGAAGCAAACTTCGTGTCACATGATGGTTTCATCAGCAACCGTTTTCAAATGGGAGTGTTTGTTTCAGCAAAACAAATGTTTGCTTTTTTGGCCAGTGGGGACCAACCAACAGATGCTTCTGCTAACATTTCCACAGCAGACTGGTACCGAACTCTTCCCCCTGTGAGCTTTCCTTCCAGCCAGAAACTCTCCCGTGACTCCACTGGCTGCCTAGTGGAAACATTTTGTAGAAGCAGTCTTCTGGTGAAGAGGGTCCAGACACTGTTTGCTCAGCCAAGTTACAGAAGTGGGCTGGACATTGTCTTGCAGGTGTTTCTGAAGATGTGTGCACCCCCGCCCAGGCTCGGGTTTGCCCTCTGTAGAGCCTGTCCACTGTGAACTCTAGCCTGTAGGGTTAATTGTGTATCGTGTTGCGCTTAGATTTCACTGATTTCTGTGTCCCGTGAAAGTGCTTAGCACAGGGCTAAGGGATTTGTACTATTGGCCTTCGTTTATGTTTGTGGAGATGTATCTTCTGTTGAGGGTGATATCAAGAATTCCAAGGGTTTAGCTGGCTCTTGCATTTTGAATTGGGATTGGCATTAGAAAAGTGATTTACCCATTTAGAGCGGTGGTACAACTTAGTAGCAGAATAGAAGCTTTAGAGGAAGGGAGACCTGGGATTGCATCATTTTCTGCCACCTCCCTGCTGTGTGACCTTCAGACAATGACCTAGCCTTTCTGAGTCCAACTTTACTCATCTGCATATAGGGACAAATACTACCCTTCCCTTTTCTAAGCTGTATTAATGATGAAATTAAATATCCTGTGTAAAGTGCTTAGACCAGTGCCCAGCACATGAGTGTTTATTAGTAAAGTATTACAGGGTACCTGTTCATTGCTCTGGTCTCCACAAGAGCTATGACCTTTGGTGTTCCCGCCGTTTGCTGTCCCCTGTAGGCACAGAAAGTGATGAGCAGGGGACAGTGCATTTGAGATTTTTCACATTAAAAATTTTGCCTGTTCTACTCTTTTTTCACTCTGGTAGCTTTCTGTGTCGAATTCCAAGTTAAGTACTAACAATCCTATCATGCTTATAGGTTTTGGATGCTGAAATAATGCGACAGTTGTACTGAAATTTTCCTTGTCTGCATTTAGTAAACAGATAGGCTGCTCACAATGAGAGCATATCTGTACCAGAAATGTGACTTAATGGCCCAATCAATGGTAAAATTAATGTCTAGTATCAAAGTGAAAGGAGGCTTTAGGTAAGCTGCTCATCCCTCATCCAGTGCCAGCCCCCTAGCATTGGGGGTAGGCAATAAAATGCCATCAGGTGATAGCCAAGATGAGGGAACGCTTGTCTGGGGACCTCCCTGAGCTTGGGGATCTGTAGTATAGCAGGTTCTCTAAGGAGCTTGGCCTGGCAGGCAAGAATGATGAGGTGGAAAGGGACAGACCCTGCATCCCTCCCTTGTTCATGATATAGACTTCGTCCCAGCAGGGGACGTATTAAGCTCCATTCATGGATGGGATCATGAAATGCCACACAGTAACCGAAATTTGTTTTGTCTGGCCCTAGGAAATGATGCTTCCCTTGCTGCTCCTAAACTGAAGTTGATCTGGGTGGAATTGCTTGCTAAGCTCTAATGCTGGCTTGTGGTGATAGGGATTTTTGTTGTGTTTTTCTAGACTAGTGCCCAATTTTGCAAATCATTTGAGGATGCAAGAGATGCCTAGGAGAATACATCCTTGTATGCTTAACTCATTGTTGCTAATGAGCTAGCCAATCAAGTCTTAAGTGGCTGTGGCCTCACAGAAAACTAATTGCTGATGGATGGCAGCCTACAGATCCATTTTCAGATGTTCATTTTCCACATTTTGGCCTTTTAAAATTCTTGGGTTGGTCATAGCCATAGTATTACAAGCCTGCTGGGTCCCAGGATTGGCTGAACATTTTGTTAGAAACAAATATTTACGGAGCTAATGCCAGAATATAGAAAGACATGTTAATCTTTCCATTGAGCTTACTACTCATTTAAATGCCCCCAGTTATGGACAGAGATGGATAGAGACCCACAGACATATAAACAAGCATAAGTTGCCCCCTTCCCTCTCTCTTCTCCTTCTTTTTACCTTCCTTCTGTTGGGATGCCCCCAGGTTTGAACAGTGTCTTCTCAGCTTTGAGGCCCCTCCTCCAGATGCAGATGTCACTTGATTTGATTAATATTTTAGGGTGAGAAAATATGTCCTAGGTTGCACAATAAAAATGGGAAGTCAACTCAGGTAGTTAAACAAGCTGGTTACTATTTTACATCGAACTCATTCCGCTAATCTTAGCACGGATCACGCAGATCTGGCTGCTGTCAATTTTGGGGAAGAAATGCTAATAATAATGCTCCATTACCCTTGTTAAAGTGCTTTAAGGTCGTTTTCCTTTCACATCTGTGATCCCATCTGAGTGGTGATTATTCTGAGCCCGGAGAGCAAACAAGTGATTATAGTTTCTATAGTTTAATGATGCTCGTTCAAGTCTGCAACATCCGTGCACCTTGATGGTCCCTCTTGGCAGAACTTTACACTGCAGTCCTGACTGATCGGGTGTCCATTTAGCTCATGGAAGGGAGGCAGGATTGGGACAAAGGAGCCAGAGGAATGTAACTACGACAGGCTTTGTCTTACTCTGAGGATGAAATGAACGTATATGCATGAACACGGCAGCTGCCAGGAAGTTTTCAAGTATGTTCTACTAGCCAGATTCTCCCTCTTCTTGAATTTGGCTTTGCTGCATGGGTACCCATCTGCTGGTAGTAACCAGACTGATAATTGAAGGCAACCTTCCAGCACAGCTTTGCCAGGGCCATCTGTTTTCTAACGGGGCTGTAGGGTTTTGGACGATGGGTCTTAATTGTTTCTTTAAGATTCAAAAATTTCCCCTTCTTCTCATGGGGGGTATTTTTGAAGTGCAGTTTTAAAAAAAGGTAGCCTTATGAAATGTTTTTGCCCTAAGGATGCGAGGAGCTTGGTTCCGTCTGTTTGTAACAATATATGCCAACCCCCGATGGTCCAGAGAGTGGCATAGAATATAGGCCGAGATACTTATCATCTATACAGTCATTGAAGGTTGAAAAACAGATTGAGGAATATAAATGGAGGATTTATTTATTGTGCAAGTCTTATGTGGTTGATAAGCAATAGTGTTTTTATTTTATTTTAATAATTTAAGATTATTTATTTATTTGAGTGAGAGAGAGTGAGCGAGAGAGCACGAGCAAGGGAGGGAGAGAGAGGAGCAGACTTCCCACTGAGCAGAGAGCTCGACGCAGGGCTTGATCCCAGGCCCTTGGGATCATGACCTGAGCTGAAGGTAGACGCTTAACAGACTGAGCCACCCAGGCACCCCAGTAATAGTGTTTTTATTTGGCATATAAATAACCATTGCTTGGTTTTAAGATTCAAAAATAGGCACACCTCCATAGTCATAGAATGGACATGCATGTGAGTCTCTGCTACTTTTTTATGTGACTACTTCACCTAATCAGGTACCCAAAGAACCTGTTTTCACTGTGAAATCTCAGATTTCCTCCATATAGAATGAATTTTTCTTTCCATGTATCTGCTCTCTGATTTCCCATAACATACTCCACTTCTCTTTAGTATTTAGCACATCCTGGTATGAACTAAGTGATTAGTATCCAGTCCTCCCCCACTGGAGTGAGAGACCTGCCCTGAGGGCAGGAGACTCTAGTCTTATTTATGTTTGCATCTTTCATAACACCCTTCCCAGCGTCTTGCACACTAGATTTTCTTAATAAAAACTTAATACTCATAAAGACATCCTCATTACAGTAAGCCTTAACATGGTTTTACAATGAAAAGGAAAAAATCTGTCATGTGCATTTTGGTTTATTAGCACATCAGATCTTTGCAAAAATGTGTTTGATCATTCAGGTGTGATTGGACCTTGGAGCCTGTTTCTTTGAGGATCTTGTAAATAGGATTTTCCTTATGAGTTAACTCTTTAACAAGCATAGGGACATCCAGAAATTTCAAAGAAGTCTGTTTCTTGAAGGGAAAAGATGATTGTCCATTTTGGGTTTTGTGCTTTTTAGTTCTATTCATAAAATCATCTGATTGAAGTAAGATGTCTAACTTAAGTGACACTTAAGTGCTCAAAGGGAAAAGTGAGATTCCTCCCCTAGTGAGATACACAAGTAGTCCCATTAGGGACCCTTATAAGGCAGAAGTCATAACTAGTTTGAGTGGTTTTGATTATAACCAATTAAATGTGTGCTTTAGGAAGCGAAGAAGGAATACAGTGTTCTGAAGAGTCAGTCTGAGCAACGGGCCAGAGAAGTCTGCCACCTGGAGGAAGAGCTGAGGAAGGCCAAACAGAGTTTGAGTCAGAGCCAGAACGTTGCAGAAGAAATGAGGGGTAAGTAAACTGAGCGTTTGGAGGTATTTTTCTAAGCTGATGTCCCATGAGGGAGGATGGATGGCCTTAGAAACATTTTTCGATTTTCCTATATATCTTCCTAGAAAGATGTCTGCAGTTGATGTGGAGAAAATTTTCTCTCTTCCCTTTTTTAGTTTCAGAGTGATAGTTCGACATTTTTTTTTATTGGAACACACAGAGTCCCAAACTGCCTTTGAAACCAGAAGGGTAAATATTCTCCACACAAAAGTGAATTGTCAGTGCTGTCTCTCACCCCAGAGTGCTATTCTTTGTGTCTCAAGTGTGTTTGTCCCCCAGACGGTGGAGAAATCCTGTATTGAATGCATGTTTTCCCAGCCGTTAATGACGTTTTTTTTTTTTTTGAGGACTTACTTGACTGAGTGATTTTCTTTCCTCACTTTCCACACAGACACTGGATTATGCTGCACGCACCACATGAGCCCACCATTTCATGTTTATCTGTATGTACCGTATGTCTTTTATGTACATTAATTTTCTCAGCTGGGGTGTATGTACCTCTAGGACTTCTTTTAACCTGCCCTGTGGAATGTGTGCCATACTTCTCTGTGACTCTTTCCTCGTTTAAATTCTGATCTCCCTAAGACGGCTTTCAATTCTTCCATGGCAGGGGGTAAAAATGTCAGTCTTCAGCTTTCTTGAAAGAAAACTGTCAGAAAAGGAAGGGCGAGGGCATTTTTCAGTGTTGGTTGTGTGAGGTCCTCACAAGCGAAGTGGAATGATGGCTTGTAAAGACAGCGCCTCAAGGGCCTTCAACTCTCAGTAGGTAGACTGAGATTAACAGGTTAAAACTAGGAACTGGGGGGCGCCTGGGTGGCTCAGTCGGTTAAACGTCTGCCTTCGGCTCAGGTCATGATTCCAGGGTCCTGGGATCGAGTTCCGGGTTGGGCTCCCTGCTCAGTGGGAGTCTGCTTCTCTCTCTCCTCCCCACTCAAGCTCTCTCTCGCTATCTCTGTCTCTCTCTCTCAAGTAAATAAATAAAATCAAACAAACTAGGAATTGTTTTCCCTGTAGTGTAACAACTGAGTTTATCATACATGCTAGCTTTATCATCTTCTATTGAGATTCTCAACGCTTATTCTCCCCCAACGTATTTGAGGAACATGGAGCCTTCCAATCACTGCTGAATGAAAGCACTGCCATTATTTCCAACTAGGAGGGGCCCGGGGGTAGACATGAGGTGGCAGTGGAGTCTGGAAAATCTTCCATTTGATTCTCCTATTCATAGACACTTACTGTAAGGGGCTGGGATGTGGGTAACATTGTTCCTCGATAGAACCTGTAGCCTGTGAGAGTTACTGATACACAGCATTATTTACTCTTTTGTACTTAAGCCCAATCCTGTAGATTTTTGGCTAACAAGGTGGAATAATTACTCACTTTTCTGGGAAATCAGAATTACTCTGTAGTGAAATAGAATATTACTACCTCAATGCTGCTCTTTTCACAGTTTTCTTTCTCAGAATAAGTATTTATTGCTGTTTTATGTGACAACACTTTTATTAAGTTTAGAAAGAAGATGAACAAATGTCTTATCCTTTTTTTTTTTTTTTTTTAAAGATTTTATTTATTCGTCAGAGAGCGGGAGAGCATGCACAGAGGCAGGGGGAAGGGTAGAGGGAGAGGGAGAAGCAGGCTTCCCGCGGAGCACGGAGCCTGATGTGGGGCTCTATCCCAGGACCCTGGGATCATGACCTGAGCCGAAGGTAGATGCTTAACCGACTGAGCCACCCAGACGTCCCTCTTATCATCCTTATGAGGACCATTTCCTCATTGTCTGTATGTATGCTCAGATAATTATCAGGTGATCTACTTTCCAGGAGGTACCCAGGCAATAATGCTGATTGTCCTAGGGCTTGAGAGGCTGTTATGTTTGTTTAGATTTTTTTTTTAAAGTGTTGGAATTCTTGTAGAATAAATATTTATTAAAAACATGACAACTAAAAAAAAAATTTTTTTTTTTAATAGCTAAGAATGCCTCTCAGGAAACCATGTTAAGAGATCTTCAAGAAAAAATCAATCAGCAAGAGAATTCCTTGACTTTAGAAAAACTGAAGCTTGCCTTGGCTGATTTGGAAAAGCAGCGAGATTGCTCTCAAGACCTTTTGAAGAAAAGGGAGCATCACATTGAACAACTGAACGATAAGTTAAGCAAAATAGAGAAAGAGTCCGAAGCTTTACTGATTGCTTTGGAGTTAAAAAAGAAAGAATATGAAGAATTGAAAGAAGAGAAGACTCTGTTTGCTCGTTGGAAAAGTGAAAATGAACAACTTTTAAGTCAGCTGGAATCAGAAAAGGGAAGCTTGCAGAGTAAAATTAATCACTTGGAAACTTGTCTCAAGACACAACAAATAAAAAGTCACGAATACAATGAGAAAGTGAGAACGCTGGAGATGGAAAGTGAAAATCTCAGTGTTGAGATCAGAAACCTTCACAATGTGATAGACAGCAAGACTGTGGAGGTAGAGACACAGAAAGAAGCTTATGCAGACCTGCAGCAGAAAGCCGAGGTCTCAGACGAGAAACACAAGAAGGAAATAGAGAACATGCGCTTGAAGATTTCTGAGCTTACCGGGCAAGTGGAAGATCTCGAACACAAGCTTCAGTTATTGTCAAGTGAAGTCATAGACAAAGACCAGCGTTACCAAGACTTGCAGGCTGAATATGAGAGCTTCCAGGATCTGCTAAAATCCAAAGATTCTTCTCTCGTGACAAATGAGGCTCATCACAGAAGTCTTTTGGCTTTTGAACAGCAGTCTGCAATGAATAATTCCTTTGCAAATATAATTGGAGAACAAGGAAGCATGCCTTCAGAGAGGAGCAAATGCTATCTAGAAGCAGACCCAGGTCCAAAAAGTTCAGCCACCTTACAAAATCGAGTCATGTCTCTTGAGTTTTCATTAGAGTCTCAAAAGCAGATGAACTCAGATCTACAAAAGCAGTGTGAAGAACTGGTGCAAATCAGAGGAGAAATAGAAGAAAATCTCATTAAAGCAGAGCAGATGCATCAAAGTTTTGTGGTTGAAACAAGTCAACGCATTAGTAAGTTACAAGAAGACACTTCTGTTCATCAAAATGCTTTTGCTGAAACTTTAGCTGCCCTGGAGAACAAGGAAAGAGAGTTCCAGCTTTTGAATGAAAAATTAGAAACTGAGCAAGCAGAGATTCAAGAATATAAAAAGAGTAACCATTTACTTCAAGAATCTCTAAAGGAGCTACAACTCTTGTCTGAAACCCTGAGCTCGGAGAAAAAGGAACTGAGTTCCACCATTTCTTTATACAGAAAGGAAATTGAAGATCTGACCCAAGAGAATGAGACTCTTAAGGAAATTAATGCAACCTTAAATCAAGAGAAGATTAACTTAATCCAAAAAAGTGAGAGTTTTTCAAACTGTATAGATGAAAGAGACAAAAGCATTTCAGAGTTATCCAATCAGTATGAGCAAGAAAGACTTATTTTACAACAAAGATGTGAAGAAACAAGATGTGCATTTGAGGATCTTAGTGAAAAATATAAAGCAGCTCAAGAAAAGAACTCTCAATTAGAATGCTTGCTAAATGAGTGCACTAGTGCTTGTGAAAATAGACAAAAGGAATTGGATCATCTAAAGGAAACATTTGCAAGGGAACACCAAGCGTTTGTAACAAAATTAGCCTTAGCTGAAGAAACAAACCAGAATCTAGCACTGGAGTTGGGGGCAGTGCAGCAAGATCTGAGATCGGAGATTGCAGATATCCAAAACAGGTCCGAGAGTGAGGCGGATGGTTTAAAGCAAGAAATCATGACCTTAAAGGAAGAACAAAGTAAGATGCAAAAGGAACTTAATGCCTTAGTACAAGAGAATGAGCACCTGATGACATTAATTGAGATGAAACAAGAGCATGAGATTCTAGAATCAGAGCCAATTAGCGACTCTGTGGTCGGAGAGAGTGAGATAAATAAATGTCATGTTCAACTTCCGATGGATCTTGAAGTTAAAGATCCTTCTCTAGACTGTTATAATGCACAGTTGGTACAATTAGAAGCTAAGATGAGAAATAGGGAATTAAAACTTAAGGAAAGCGAGAAGGAGAAGCAATGCCTACAGCACGAACTACAGACGATTGGAATAGAATTAGAAACTGGAAATTTGCAATGCGATGCCCAGTCACAAGAACTTAGTGGCCCTAAAGACTGTGACGCAGGTACAGAAGAAAAGTATATTTCAGTGCTTCATGAGTTGTCAGCAAGTCAAAATGACAATGCGCATCTGCAGTGCTCTCTCCAAACAGCAATGAGCAAGCTGAGTGAGCTAGAGAAGATGTGTGAGATGCTGCAGGTTGAAAAGCTTGAGCTAATGTCTGAGCTGAATGATTCAAGATCAGAATGTATCACAGCAACTAGTAAAATGGCAGAGGAGATGGAGAAACTAGTAAATGAAGTTAAAATAAACGACGAAAATGGCCTTCTCCAAGGTGAGTTGGTGAAAGAAATGGCGGAAGGTGAATCTGGTGAACGACAAAATGAGCAGAAACGTGTGTCCTTAAATCCTTTGGATGACAGTAATTGCTATGAGCACTTGACATTGTCAAATGAAGTTCAAATGCACTTCGCTGAATTACAGGAGAAATTCTCATCTTTACAGAGCGAACACAAAATTTTACATGATCAGCACTGTCAAGTGAGCTCTAAGATGTCAGAGCTACAGTCTTATGTGGACGCATTAAAGGCTGAAAATTCGATCTTGTCAACAAGTCTGCGAAACTTCCAAGGTGACTTGGTAAAGGAGGAGATGCGGGGACCCGAGGAAGGGCATTTTCTGTCATTATCATTCTCTTGTGTGACTGACAGCCCTAGCCTTACACGTTTGGGAGAATCTTCTTTTTGCAAAGACCTTTTAGACCAGACAGGAGAAACATCACTTTTGAGTAATTTAGATGGGAATATTTCAGCAAACCAGTCTAATATAGAGGAAAGATCTTGCTGCAGTCCGGAGAAGGAGAATCTGACCAAGAAAGAAATTCTGTCTGCCCCAGTGAGGAGCATTGAAGAACTTGAGACTCTCTGTCAGATGTACCTGCAATCCCTCAAAAAGCTAGAAGACAAAATCAAAAGTCAGGAGATTATGAAAAATAAGGAGATTAAAGAGCTCGAGCAGTTATTAACTTCCGAAAGGGAAGAGCTCGACTGTCTCAGGAGGCAGTATATGTCAGAAAATGAACAGTGGCAGCAGAAGCTGACAAGCGTGACCATGGAGATGGAGTCCAAGTTGGCAGCAGAAAAGAAACAGACTGAACACCTGTCGTTTGAACTAGAAGTAGCACGACTCCAGCTACAAGGTCTGGACTTGAGTTCTCGGTCTTTGCACGGCACCGACATAGAAGATGTAAGTACCTGGGATTTACATGCTGTTTCTCCAGTTACATGCCCAGCAGGTGCTCGAGAAATGTTTGTTGACTTGAAATCTACATTAAATCAAACTTAAAATATTTTTAGAGTTCAAGGGTATAAAAACAAACATATACACACACACACCAAAAGTTTTTTGGTTTTTTGTTTTTTTTAAACAAAGCACAACTTTAGAAAAATTAGTAAGCCTGATTGGGGTGGGGGTGGGGGGATGTAAATTTCTATGATGATTCCACTCAAACATTTACATGTAGGAAATTACTAAAGATGTTTTTTAAAGTCTCCTGGAGAAAATTATATTATGGAGTCAGAAGTCATCTTGAGGATATGTATGTGTTTTCACTCTTTGTGAGTGAAATAATAACTGTGGTAATAAACCATAGTTAAATATTAAATTAGAGTATGGATGGCAATATGATACGAGTTTTAAGTTTTCTTGCCATTTTCAGACTATTTCATTATTAGTTAAAGTCATGAAACTAAATGCAGGAGTTTATTACATATTACTGAGTAATTTTCTTATCAGTTTGCTCTGTTACAAATCTATGGTTTGTTATCAGTCCTTTAAAGAGACATCTCTTATTGGGATATGAAATTGTTAAGTCATAACTTCGCCCTTTCTAGTCTATCAGCTAAACTAGTAATGCTGACCCGTTGACAAGTCTCACTTGATTCCGTCTGTCTGCCTCAGTAAATTAGGGAGGGCAGGTGGTGACATGATGGGTCGTAGTGGTCACAGCAGCAGATCCCCATTTTATAGATGAGAAGAAGGTGAGATCCAGACATGTAATTTATCCAAGAATATGAATAGTTAGTGCTGGCTCTGTGATTAAGTCCTTGGGCTGGGGATCTGGTCATGAAAACTTCTCTCAGTGAAGAATATCGTAAATGCTGAAGATGTAAGCTGAACATTTTATGTGGAATTTGTTAGCCTCTTATTTGATAATCACAAAAAGAAATTTTATATTTAGGCTACCAAGGACATTTCTAGCAAGAAAAAAATATGAAATTTAAATGTTACAATTTAGATCAAATAACTGATCTGAAGGGTTTGTCTTCATGATCAATACCTTACCCAGTGCCTTGCCTGTGGAGAACACTTATTGAATGTTTGTTTAATTGTGTTGGGTATTTGGATTGAGAGAGGAGAATGGGGTGGGAAATATGCCATTTGAAGAGATGTGTTTAGCAGAGGCAAGAAGCCAGTTTCTATAAAGTAATAATTAAGCCTATTTATTCTATTTTGATTCCTCTTGAAAAGTAAAATGAATTCTCATTGTATATTACAACTACAGGCTCTTCGGGGTGGAAACAATAGCTGTGATGTAAAAGAATCAGAAGAATATACTTTGGAAACGCAAGAGAGAACACCAAAGCGTGACATTCATCAGATTTGTGAAGAAGGTGTTCAGCAGGACCTCAATCTAGAGACAGAAAAAATAACCAAGACCAGTCCAGTCAGATTCACACGAGAATGGTCTAGGGAACAATCCCCAGAAGCCAGTTATGAGACTCCAGCTGAAGACAGAACCCAGGGCTGTTTAGAACGCATTTCTGAATTGTCACTTTCTGGTCCTAATGCTCTGGTACCTATGGATTTTCTGGAGACTCAGGTCACCATTCAGAATCTTCAACTGCAGGTAAACGAGTCATCAAATGAGAATTTGAGGTTACTTCATGTCATAGAGGAACGTGACAAAAAAGTTGAAAGTTTACTAAGTGAAATAAAAGAGTTAGACTCAAAACTCAATTTACAGGAAGCACAAGTAACCACCAAGATGGAAGCATGTATAGAGTTAGAAAAAATAGTTGAGGAACTCAAGAAAGAAAAATCAAACTTAAGTGAAAGATTGGAATCCTTTTCTTGTGACAACCAGGAATTACACCAGAGAACAGAAAGTTTAGAAGGTCTCAATTCTAATTTAGAAATAGGTGCAGATAAATTGTCACATGCAGTTATTGAAGATAATGTGGCTGAGGTGAACGACAACTGGAGAGAGCGATTTCTTGATGTGGAAAATGAGCTAAAGAGGATAAAGTCTGAGAAAGGTAGCATCGAGCATCACGCCCTCTCTGTGGAAGCTGACTTAGTGACAGTTCAGACAGAGAAGCTATATTTAGAAAAAGACAATGAAAATAAGCAGAAAGTTATAACCCGCCTCGAAGAAGAACTCTCTGTGGTCACCAGTGAGAGAAACCAGCTTCATGGAGAATTAGATACTTTGTCAAAAGAAAATAAAGAACTAGATCTGATGTCTGAGAAGATGAAGCAGAAAATACGTGAGCTCGAATCTCATCAAGGTGAATGTCTCCATCACATTGATATGGCTGGAGCAGAGGTAAAGGACAAAACACAGCTTGTTCAGACGTTGTCCTCTGACGTAACTGAGCTTTTGGAAGAGAACACTTGTCTCCAGGAGAAGCTGCAGAGTTTGGAAAAGGACTCACAGGCCCTGTCTTTGGTAAAAAGTGAGTTGGAAATCCAAATCGGACAATTGAATAAAGAGAAAGAATCACTTGCAAGGGAATCTGAAAGCCTGCAGACCAGACTGCATGAATCGGAACACGAAAAGCTGACCATCGCCAAGGCCTTGGAGGATGCGCTGATGGAGAAGGGTGAGGTTGCAGTGAGGCTGAGCTCAACGCAGGAGGAAGTGCACCAGCTAAGAAAAGGCATTGAGAAGCTGAGGGTCCGCATTCAGGCTGATGACAAGAAGCAGCTGCATGTTTTAGAGAAACTGAGAGCGAGCGAGCGTAAGATTGATTCGCTTCAGGATAAAGTCGAGAACCTTGAAAGAGAACTGCAGATGTCAGAGGAAAACCAAGAGCTGGTGATTCTTGATGCTGAGAATTCCAAAGCAGAGGTGGAGACCCTAAAAACACAAATGGAATTGATGACCAAAAACCTGAAAGATTTAGAATTAGACCTTGGCACAGTAAGGTTCGAAAAAGAAAATCTCATAAAACAACTACAAGAAAAACAAGGTCAAGTGTCTGAATTAGACACATTACTCTCTTCATTGAAAGGTCAGTTAGAAGAAGAGGAGAAAGAAAAAATAAAGATGAGAGAAGAATCCAAAGCTGCATTGGAGATGCTCCAAACACAACTGAAAGAGCTAATTGAGGAAGTAATAGCCTTGTGTCGTGACCAAGAAATCCAGAAGGTCGAAGAACAGAGTATAGACTCCTCGGTGCAGGAAATACATCAGCTGAGGAACAGCATTGAACAGCTGAAAGTCCGCCTGGAAGCTGATGAAAAGGAGCAGCTCCAGGTCTTGGGAACACTGAGGGAAAGTGAACAGCACGCCGACTTGCTTAAGGATAGAGTAGAGAACCTTGAAAGAGAACTAGAGATATCCGGGAAAAACCAAGAGTGCGTGATCCTTGAGGCTGAGAATTCCAAAGCAGAGGTGGGGACTCTAAAAGCAAAAATAGAGGAGATGGCCCAAAACCTGAAAGATTTGGAATTAGATCTTGTCCATGTAAGGTCAGAAAAAGAAAATGTGATAAAAGAATTACGGAAGGAGCAAGGACGAGTATCTGAATTAGAAGTATTAAATTCTTCCTTTGAAAATCTATTGCAAGAAAAAGAGCAAGAAAATGTACAGATGAGAGAAGAATCTAAAACAGCAGTGGAGATGCTTCAAACGCAAATAAAGGAGCTAAATGAGAAAGTGGCGGCCTTGTGTCATGACCAAGACACCTGGAAGGCCGAAGCACAGAATCTGCGCAGTCAAGTAGATGCTCTTGAACACGAGAAGGCTCAGGTACTACGAGGCCTTGACGAGGTCAAGAATAATTACCTTAATGTGCAGGCTTCTGCAAATGGCCTCCTTCAACAAGTAGAAGATTGCAAACAGAAGCTAGAGGAGAAGGAGGAAGAAATCAGCATACTGAAAAATCAAATTCAAGACCAAGAGCTGCTCACCTCTAAACTGTCCCAGGTGGAAGGAGAACAGCAGCTTTGGAAGAAGCAAAAAGTGGAACTGGATAATCTGCTGATGGAATTGGAGCAGAAGATCCAAGCGCTGCGATCCAAAAATGACACTTTGCGGGACACCTTAGAAGCACTACAGAAATCTCACAAGGATCTGGAGAAAGAGCTTGAAATGACAAAAATGGAAAACGTGTCCTTTGTTGAAAAAGTAAGTGGCCTAAGCTATGTACGTTTGAATATGTAGTCATGAGGGAGGGAAACCACTGTGTGAATCAGATTTCCTTCTGGACAGTGTCTGCCGTATGGGACCAAACTCTGTAAAGGTTTTAAGTTTGTGGGACCTTGAACTTTGGGGGCGTTGAATTGGCTCCAGCAGCAGTGACTCTTTGCTTTGGCACACATTTACATGGGACACTTCTATGGATTAGCCCAGGTTTTCATTGTGGCACCTGGGCATGGGAGAAGCTTTGGGTTAGGCATAGTTCCTGGTTCTAATTATAGTTTTCTTTTTTATAGTACATTAGAGTCCTAGCTTTCCAGTACTCAGCTGGGAACTCCTGTCAAGGAGACTGTAACAGTTACTAGTGAGGATCAGGCCGGAGCCCCAGTGCCCCTGCCCTGCCTTTTTGCCTTTAGGAGAAAGTACTATCAAAGGGGCTGATATAACAGTAACCAACAGAACCCTCATGCCTCCCAGGACATGTCTCGGGGATTTTGTGCTTTCAGCCCCTCTTATACCTTCTCTTTGTGCAACCTCCTGTTTGGTTAGCTGGTGGTTAAAGGGGAAAATCTGCCATCAGGGGGCTCAGTTAGTAATGAAAAATTTTTGCCCTGTAGGCTTATATACTGATCTAGGAAAATGATTGCTTCAAATTTAATATTTGCCCAGTAAAAACTGAAAGAAAAAGGAGTGTCCAGAAAATGGGATCAATCATAACCCTATAATATTTTCCAGGAATTTCAAGTTTTGACACAATTTGCAAGAGATGGCAGTTATGATAGAGATCATTTGGCAAATTCTTCCAGGCTCTCTCAACGTTAGGGGCAAATGCCAACAATAGGGCTTTAACTGGTTTTAACTAATCCTACGCATGTTTCTTGCAGATTGGTATGGCATTGGGGGATTAGTAGAGATCCCAGAACTGATAAAAAATAAGGCGCTACCTCATACAATGGTTTCTAATGTTTATGTTTAATACAAATTAATACCTTTATGAAGGATTTTAAGACTTAGTAATATTAGCTCTCCTTGTCATTGCTTTCCTTATTGCTGTCTTCTTTTATTAAATCTTGGCTGAGAAGAAAAGGTAAGCTTGCCAGTAGGTTTTGAGGATAGTAGTTGAGCGGATTAGTAAAGGGAGGATTAGCCCGGTTCCATTTTATTACTGAAGGTGAAAGGAAATGTTATGAGTGTGTTGTATCAGAGTGATTAATTTGCACAAAACAGGCAACCCAAAGCAGATCCTAACAAAAGATGAAATTTCAGGTAAACGCAATGACTGGGAAGGAAACCGAGCTGCAGAGGGAAATGCACAAGATGGCACAGAAAACAACAGAGCTGAAAGAAGAACTTATTGGGGAGAAAAATAGGCTAACTGAAGAATTAAATATAATGTCGGAGGAAATAAAGAGCAGCAAGGTAAGTTTCTCTGTGACGTGCTCATGATGCTCTGATAATGCAGTGCACACCCTCTCCCTGTTTGTTTTTTCTAAGACCTGGAATGTACCAGACTTTTTTTAGCTTTTGAAAAAAATAGCCCCACACTTCAGTCACAATGAGACTTGCACTCATCTTCACCTTCCAACCCTGTCGAGAGCCCAGAAGAAGCCCCAAGCGGCTTCAGCACACGTGAAAATTCCTGTCATGGAGCCCAAATATTTTACATGAAAGGCGAGCCTGGTACTACATTAACTCGCATCAGAAATAGATTTCCTGCAGCTTTCAACAGGTTTATCGGCTTTTCTAGCCTGCCTCAGATGGGGAGCCAGAACGTTGCCAGAGACAGATGCCCTGATCTTGCTAAGAACTGCAAAGTCAGGGGAAGTCACAGAGAAGTGTAAAGTTGGAACAGTCTTGGGATGTTATTTTAGGGCAGGGTTCCTGTGGCAGATCTGTAGCATCTGGGCCACCCCTCCCCACCGCTGTTTGCAGAGCAGACATTGCTGATTCATGCCCTCCCCTCCTCCTGAAACTCTTCACACTGAGTCCCATGGAGCAGCTACCATGCACACAGAGCTGGCAAGTTCAATGAAACCTGTTTGCCAAACCTGGTTAAACGGTGAACACTCGCATATCCATGATGTCCTCGTGCACATTCATCCCTGGGAGGTACTTAGCAAAGGGTAATGAGACAGAGTTGTGATTGCGACCCAGAGCAGTCACAAAGAGTTGACATGCTATTGGTCAGGGCCTGTGTAAGGAGTTGGGGAAATGTGTCCTTTAAATGCAGTATTTAATCTAATGAAAATCGAAAAGGTTTGGCATCTCATCTCAGCAACTGACTCATGGAATTTTCTGGCAATGCTGCGTGGAAGGAGTTTGTACGAATAATATTTGAGTACTGCACCTGCTGGAATTTCCTTTGGTACTGAGCAGCTTGGGAGTATCCCAACTCGAATCTGGTTTACAGGCTCTACTTTAGAAGGCAAAGGGAGGTGTTTAGCCTCCAGTCCATAGTGCTGTGCTGTGGTTTCTGCACTCAGAGAGCTTACGGTCTAGACACACGATAAGTCATTAAATAGGAGCTATAGAAGATAAGCATAAGCTCGCAAGTGCTATAAATCAAACAACATTCTTTTTTTTTTTTTTTTTTTTTTTTAAGATTTTATTTATTTATTTGACAGAGAAAGACACAGCGAGAGAGGGAACACAAGCAGGGGGAGTGGGAGAGGGAGAAGCAGACTCCCTGCTGATCAGGGAGCCCGATGTGGGACTCGATCCCGGGACTCCAGGATCATGACCTGAGCCGAAGGCAGTCGCTTAACCGACTGAGCCACCCAGGCGCCCCAATCAAACAACATTCTTTACGGCAGACTAATTGGGAAGTGGGATGTGTGGGGAACCTAAGTTAGGTAGGGAGGTCAGAGAATGTCACCTGCAGGATGAGGGCTCAGCCGTGTGAGAAACAGTGCAGAGGAAGGAAGTTTCTAGGTCTAGAGAGCAGTGTGGCAACATCTCTGAGATTGGAAAAATCTTAGTTTTTTTTTTTTAGAAATTGAAAGGAAGCCATTATGAGCTAGAAAATGATACGAAAAGAGATTAGAGAGAATTAGAATAAAATCTAAAGGGATGCCAAATACATGAGGCTGGAGTTTAAAGGGAAGGTTTAGGGTGGCTAGTTTGGAATCTAGGTAGTATTCACAAATTGGGGGAATGGTAGAAGATACAGTTGGAGAAGAGAAGGTGGTTCGGTGCAGAGACCTCCGCATGCAAGAGAAGATGGAGGAGGAGGAGCCAGCAGAGAGAACAGGAAGGTGTGATGAGGTGAGCAAGGAGTGGAGGGTCTCAGGGAGGGAAGAGCGGTCAGCAGCACCACATACTACCTAGAGCTTGGACGGGCTGAAGAATGCTCCTTGGATTTGCAATGGGGAGTTTGCTGAGACCATGGAAAGCGATTTGAGGAGGAGGTGGGCTAAAACCAGGTTGTAGGGCTTGAGTCCATGGAGATGAGGAAGTCAACGCAGCGTGTATAGAAACACATAGAAGCAGTCATTTGGGATCAGGCCCGGAGAACACAGGGGCCTTCGGAGCTGGAGTTCTGCCTGTCTCACACAGTGAAGGGAGAGAGGGACAAAAGAGGTGAGGGCATTTGGAAGGAAATTCTCCCAGTGATAGAACATGTAATCAAAGCTGGTCAAGGAAGAAAACGTAAGTCTGGAGGGGCTTGAGTGTGACGGTGGGGATGGTGCGGGTACTGTTGATGATGTCAAGGAATTTCTGCAGTGCAAGCACTTCAGTAAAGGAGCCTGGAAGCCTAGGAGGGCACGGTCCAGACTGGTTCAGCTAAAGCTGGGTTCTTAGAGAGTCTGTGGTCCTAGTGGATGTGACCTTGGGGGTGGTTGGGCTGGAGTAAAAGAACTTGTCATTGGAGGTGAAGTCAGTTTCAAGTGAGCACATCACTAAGGGTTATAGCACTATTCTATGTAGATTTTTTCTTATCTGTAAATTCTTTTTCTTTTTTTTCGTTTCAGTACTCAGTATTTCCTAAAGCTATATATCCAGGTTCCTAATTATTTTCCCATGATTTTTTTACTTTTCTCATTAGGGTCAACTGAAGGAACTCATGCTAGAAAATAGTGAATTGAAGAAGAATTTGGATTGCGTACAGAAGAACCAGATGGAAAAGGAAGAGAAAGCGCGAGAAGAAATAGCTGAGTATCAGCTACAGCTGCAGGAAGCTGAAAGGAAACACCAGGCTCTGCTTCTGGATACAAACAAACAGGTAAAAACTTGGGGTTTGGTCCCTGGAGGAGCCGGAGAGTGGTGTGTGGACCATGGTAATGAGGCATTTTTTACAAGAAGGTCAGTGTTCTGCATTATTGCATAATACAGTCTTCTGAAGGGTCCCATCATATTACCTGCAGGGTCTTCCACAGTTACCTCACAGGTCTTATTTTAGGACGTGAGCTTTTAAAATATATTTCCTTCCATCTTGGAATAGATTAATAGCAGAGTCCCAAGGATTATTTGAAATGGTCCTTGGGACAGCCGTTTTCATTATTGTTTGTTTTCCTTGAAATTTTTTTAGCTGAGCCTCCTGACTAAAGTAACGTTTTTCCATCTTAGCATGAAATGGAAATCCAGACATACCGAGACAAACTGTCTTCTCAGGAAGAATGTCTCAGCTCGCGGAAGGTGGAGGTAGATGTCTTAAAGTCCAGTAAAGAAGAACTCAGTAATTCTTTGAAAGCTACCACTCAGATTTTAGAAGAACTGAAGAAGACCGAGGTACGTTCCTTTTGCATGACTTCATGACTTAGAATGATTCATACAGGTAATGGTGGTTTTCATCACATGGAATGAATGCTTTCATTTTAATTGTTATGGCTTTTTTTTTTTCGGTAGTCAAAAATAAAAGCATCAGTTCTCTGCTGAGTTATTTCTTAAAAATCAGTGGATGATCTGTGGTCTCACAGCTTATGCATTGTTCAGTGAATCCTCTCAAATTAGAGGATGGTAAGAGACTTTCTCGAGATGGATATGAAGATCCAGGTGATAGCAGATTAGGGCAGGCCTCTCCAGCTGTAGATAATAATTTCGTGGGTAATTCCAAAGTCTTATTTGATGGGTCTCTAAGTTCACTGCTGTCACCAAACCCACTTTTCCCATGGCTCATGGGGAGATCAAGAAACACTTGGTCATGCACACATATATGTACGCTCTCCTCTTCCTCTCCATGCAAGGGTCATAAAACTTTCTCCTTTACAAAAAAAAGGTGAACTGTAGTCTTGGGATTGTTCCCCCAATTATAGGTGGTGCTACAGTAATTCTACTTCTTAGAAAGAGAGGCTTTTTGATTCCTACAGATATTTTTCATAAGATGAATACCATCTAGGATATATAATAAAGAACCTGGAAGAGAAATATCTACAAAGGTCTTTACTTCAAGGTGATTTAAATTGCAAAAATTATGATATCGCGTATCTCATACATTGAAACAAAAGTAGGGGTAAACTTCTTATGTCTGTAGCTCTTAAATAATTCTCAAGGTGAAGGAAATATACCAATAAAATACAAACTAAGAAAAGTCAAGATAACATTCATGATCACTAATGTTCTGCTGCTACAAAATGAGACATGTTAGGTTTCATAACAGAAAGAAGAGCTTCAGGTTTACTTTTTTATTTGCTCACTTTCTGCCTTTAAAAAAAATTGAGGTAAAATTGGTAATAAAATGATACTTTAGTTTCAGGTATGCTTTCTGCTCATCTAATTGTTGACAGTTCTATCGTGGGGAATGTCTGTATTCACACATACTGTGTACAAAATAGCTCGTTGTTAGTTGAGCCCACTCAGATTGCAGAAATCTACTTGCAACATGAATGTGATGCTCAGGTTCTTTGTTTTTTTTAAATAGTTTGGTCCGCCTTTGTATGGTCATGATCTCTTATGGGAAACTCTTGGAGCTAGCTTGTTTTAGAAGTCTGCATTTTTTAGATATTACATAATACGATGCATGTGCCATATATTACATAATATCCCAGCAAGGTATGGGGTAATACTTCATAATCAAATTCATATTTCTGCAACAAAATGTATGACTATTCTCACAAGGTGGGATAAATAAAGACTGTATATAAATACTTCTGTATCTGGTTCAGGTCAGGCTTTTCCTCTAAATCATTGTCTGAGCTTTTTCTTGGAATTTGCAGATGTAGTTAAGGAATCCTGAACTTGTACTCCTGAGAAGTGTATGATGCTATCATTCTCCCACCATTCTGTTCGCTTTCTATTTGCGCAACTGTAGAATTTAAGTTTGTATTGTGAGCCATAATATTATTTGGCCTTCACTTGGTGTCACCAACACAGATGCCATCTTGGATGTTGAAATTGTGCAAAGGCACGGACTACAAATGGAAACACAATTCTATCATCAAGAAGTTTTTTTTTTTAAGATTTATTTATTTATTTGACAGAGAGAGTGAGCACACAGAGGGGAAGGGCAGAGGGAGAGGGACAGAGAATTTCCAGCAGACCCTGCGTTGAGCAGGGAGCTTAACACAGGGCTCGATCTCACGACCCGGAGATAAGGACCTGAACCAAAACCAAGAGTCAGATGCTCAACTGACTGCACCACCTAGGCACCCCTATCATCAAAAAGTTTTGACCCACCAAAAATATGCCCATGTATCTCCCACCTTAACCCCCCAGGTGTGATTCCCATTGGACAAACCCAGACATGGCAGGCTCCTTAACAGAACACTGTCTTAGGAACCAAGATTTATGCTTGCCGATAAAACCACAGTGTCTACTGGGGAGACCTAGGAAACCGGATAGAGAAGATGAATTGTTTTATTTTGAACATCATAATTCTTAAATTTATAATATATGATTCTTAATTATATCCATGATTATTTTCCCATATGCTCATAAAAAGAAATTCAAGATTTTAAATTCAAGGTTTTGTTTCATAGGCACACAGTGTAAAATACACAAATCAGTTGAAAAAGGAAAATGAGCGTGCCCAGGGGAAAATAAAATTGTTGATCAAATCCTGTAAACAGCTGGAAGAGGAAAAGGAGATGTTGCAGAAAGAGCTATCTCACCTTGAAGCTTCACAAGAGAAACAGAAGACAGGTAGGCATTAATTGGGCACATCCATGAGCCAAAACTCCTTTCCACTAGTGAAACCATACACGTATGGTGTGTAGGCACAGAAATGTTTTTAGTGCTGTGTTTTTTTGTTTTGTTTTGTCTTATTTTTTTTTTTAGTTTTAGTTTTTTTTCTTATGTTCAATTAGCCAACATCTATAGCACATCATTAGTTTTTGATGTAGTGTCCAACAATTCATTAGTTGCGTGTAATACCCAGTGCTCATCACAACTAGTGCGGTGTTCTGTTACTGCATGTCGACTTCAGCAGTTATCCATTTTCCAGTTTCTAAATTTTGTGCTCAGCTTGGGGTCATAGGATTAGTAGGATTCAGAATGAAGTCTGCAGTTTGAAATAGAATCATTGCATCTTCTGTTCTATAAAACATACAAAAAACTGGCAGCACTTTTTGCTAATGAGCTGTTCCAAGAAGGGTTTTTCATGTAGATGTCCATTTAAGCAGTCCCTATGTCAAAGGCAGATTGCCATTCTGAGCTGGCATTGGTCATTTATCAACCCCTGATTCTGGTTGTCCTTGGCCCATCCTTGTGGGTCCACTAAGTGGAAGGCTTAGGGGCTGTATGTTTGGGTGTGGAGGTAAAATAAAAAAGAAATGGCAACTGTCCTTGTCACTTTTTTCCACTTATGTCTGCGGAGTAGAATGCTCTCATTGTGTGGAAATGTGGTGGCAAGCGTAATATGAAGGGCTCTTCTGGAGCACAGCTTCAGACGGTGGGTCAGTGATCTTCCCTGCTGAGACGAGGACTTGGAGTATATTGTGGATCCAGGGAGTTTTTCCAATGGATTTGGTGCCAACCATGACAGCTACAAGTTGACCAGGACTCCCACCTTTGAAGCATCCCCCAAGCACTTGTCCATCTGATCCTCCATTGTTTAAAAATGGTTTTTAGAGCTCTTTTCGACTTGTCTTGTCACTAGCCCTCTTCTGTTTCCCAAAGCTATTCCAACAGACTTCATATTATTTACCAACTTTTATTGTTCGCTCACTTATGCTGGAAAGAATGGACAGGGGAAAATTGGGGATGTGATCGATCAATTCATCTGATCTTATATGAAGTGCAAGGAAGGATGGGTTGGCTGGAATACAAGTTTGAGATTTTGATGGATTTTATTTAAGCTATCTTAATGAAAGTCACTTAATCTACTAGAATATGTACCTTGATATGGTCCCTCCCAAACAGGAGTTGTTTGATCTATAAGAACACACATTAGATATATCTCCCCCACTTCTCTTAAGCGAAAATCAAAAAACAAATCTAAGATTATCTACTTTATGAAGTCCAGTGTTGATTACAGAAGTGTCAAGTGATGTACAATGTGTCACTTTATTTTTGACAGGTACCGTTGTGGATTCTAATGTAGAAGAATTAATGGCTGAGATAAAAGAACTGAAAGAAACTCTTGAAGAGAAAAACAAGGAGGCTGATGAATATCTGGACAAGTACTGTTCCCTGCTCATAAGCCATGAGAAGTTAGAGAAAGCCAAAGAGATGTTGGAGACACAAGTTGCTCGTCTGAGTTCACGGTCTAAACTTAATCTCCAGAATTCTCCTTTGCTAAATTCAGTTGTTCCAGAAGCCTCTCCAGCCCCTTCTGCTACTGAAAAGAAGTTGTCATCCAGCCAAAATAAAGCTTCGGGCAAAAGGCAAAGGTCCACTGGGATTCGGGAAGATGGGGGAGGCACAGCGCCTTCTACCCCAGAGACATTTTCTAAAAAGAGTAGGAAAGCAGTCAAAAGTGGTATTCACCCCACAGAGGATGCCAGAGACACTGAGTTTGAGCCAGAAGGCCTTCCAGAAGTTGTAAAGAAAGGTAGGCATAATTTAAAAGCAAAATTATTTGTGTTCTTTTGCAATTCCCTGTAAAAATCCATATATAAAAAAGACAGAAGCATTTATGTTTTAGATTATTGTGCAACGGTGCTAAGTGACCTTCAGAAACAACAGTCCACCTTTAAATTGGTAAGGTATATTTTCCTTTCTGCATGAGATAAGGACTAGGATCTAATTACTCATGTTTACAGCACAAAACGTGCCAGTAGATTTCAAAAATGACTATTCAAAACCTGTTTGGAATTTGATGTTTCTGTGCTGAAAAATCCCCAAATTGAGGACACTTTTCAAGCTTTTTCACCTTTAGTCCATGTCTCATCCAGGTAGGAGGTGAGGTGGGGGGTGGGCCCCCTTGGCTGGAGCCACTTAACACTTTTTGTTTTTTTTTAATTTAAACCCAGTGATTGATCCTTAAAGTGTGGCCCAGGGACCCGGGCCAGTCTAAGAACATGCATCTCCTGTCATGTCCACTCCCTCTCTGGAGGGAGACCAAGTGAACACACAGTGCAATCCCTCTTTTACGGGGTCGGCTGTCTCCTCCCACCTAGTCTCTGCCTGAGTAGCAGGGGATGTTACCATTTTACCTTTTCTCGTTTTAAACAAGAGCTGGCTTCCCCCCCGCCTTTTTCCATTTGATCCTCCTTTTTCTCTCCAATCCGAATTTTATGGGAAGGCTTGCTGATATGTTCATCAGATCTTAGAAAAATGAGAGTTAAGACATCTCATTAGAAGAAGAAGAAGAAGTGGGGAAAAAAAATTTCTATTTAATGTTATTTTCCCTTTTTCCATTGTGTTTTCTTGTGTGTCTGGTAAGAGAAAACCCACTAGTTTCTTGTTTGATTTGGCAACTGTGAAGTTAATCGCTTGTCCGCTGTGGCTAGCAGGAAGTGTTTCTGGAGTTCCTTTTATACTGGTGAGAACTCTAGCTGGTACATGCTGTTTCCATTATAGATTCAGTTGGCCCTAGCAATGTTGACAGCCAGCGTTTTTTTTGCCCTTAGGGTTTGCTGATATCCCAACAGGAAAGACAAGCCCGTACATCCTGCGGAGAACAACCATGCCGACTAGGACCAGCCCCCGCCTGGCTGCGCAGAAGTTAGCACCGTCCCCACTAAGTCTCAACAAAGAAAATCATGCTGAGGCCTCCCAACCAATAACTGGCGGCAGCAGATCACAGAAGGTAACCCCTAGGAACCTTGTATCTGCGGTCCCAAAGCCAGGAAATCCCGGTGTTGTCAGGCAAGGGTCTGACGCTGACTCAGGAGCTCTAAAGTCTGACCTCCGTGCAGTGTAAGGAAGCCAGTCCTGAGGACAGTAGTGAGCAGACCCGAGGATAAACATGACATTATCCTGCAGCTACAGTCTCCTCCTTGATCCAACAGGCCACTTAGAGTTTGATGGAAAGGGTTAAATGAGGAGAAATCATGGATCAGGACTCAAAGGGTTTGTAAGCACGTGTTAAGCCGTACATTGAAGGAATTGAAGAGGTCGTCTTTCTTTTGGCCACAGGCATTGCTCATTGCTTGTTTCACGCTTTTTCCTCTAATGCACTGGCCCCCCAGCTGCCAATTATTTTTTTTTCCCTATCTTTTATACTCCTTTACTTTATAAAAAGCAAATATTTCACTAGACATCTAAAGAAAGGAGCTCTGTTGACACATTTCTCTACTTTGTTGATGGCAGAGTTATGATCTCAGTGACCTCTATGCACCTTGCAAACGGCCCAGTAAATGTTGTTTAAAGCATCGAGAATATTTGCTTTGCAGATCTTTGTTCATTATGCCATAAGATATACTAGCATTATGTATGCAAAGTATATGCATTTCATTGTACTCATGGTAGATAGTATTATAGAAGAAAGAAGAAAGTAAGGTTCATAAAGATCTAACTTAATCTGCCCAGAGTTAACACTCACTGTCTCTCACTTCCACGGTCTTATTCTTCTTCCCAGTGTTTCTCAAACAGGGGGTCACAGGAACATTGTTGGAAGTTGCTGGAATAGCTCCAAGAATTCTAAAAGTTTTGTGATTTTACTTTGATTGCTTACTTGTTAGTTTGAGTAACTATGGAATGTGAGTAGCTGACCCAGCAGACAAAGCCTTGAAAGTGTAGTAAGCCCTACTTGTGTAATGTAGTAAGTGTAATAAGTGAGTCTTTAAGTGAATGGGCATGGTCCTCAGTAAGATTTTAGATACCAAAATAACAAAGACATTGGGGATTAGCTGCATCAAAGCAAGAACATATTTGTAAATGTTTGTTATGTTGATGTGTAAGAGCTATAAGCATTAAGGAATGTATACCTAGTCTTAAGTTTTTTCAAAACTTACATTATAATAAAATTTTTATTAATTCAGGGGTGAGGAAGAAGGGTCTGAGGTTCTCTTTCACTTATTAAAACGGGCCCATCCATTACTTGTATTAGAAATATTGACCATTTTGTGCAAATCCTCCCTCCCCATCCCCCTATCCGAAACCCCACTTTTCTTTCTTTCTTTTTCTCCTTCACATTTGGATCTATCTTCTGAATGCTGGTAACAACAAAACACTGGAGAGTGTGCTGGAGTAGGTCTTGACTTTCCAGTGACCCTAAGAACAGCTTCTTTTCCATAAAGCAACCAGTGTCCCTAAAGAGGGAAGCTTGCAAGCTTGACCAAGCTTTCCACCACCAGCTAAGTCCTGACCTGCTCATCAGGTTTAGGTTCTGGTGTAGGCCACGCCATTTCCTTAGATGGTGGCTGAGTGGGAGCCACTCCTCCTCGCTCCTCCATACAAGCTAATACCCATTCCTGCTTGTCTCATACTTTCTGGGATCAAATGAAATATTTGTTTGGCTCTCTTAAAACAGAAAATCTTAACACGTACATAGGACTCTGTACTTCGATCTTTTATGGTGGCTCACTTTATTGTGACTCCTTGCTTAGATATCTGTCTTCTGAGCTGCAGTATGAGGACTGCGAGGCTCCTTACTATGATTCTGGTTTCCCTGTGTCTTCTTCGTGTCTAATAACCGTGTCTGGCAGTCAGCAGCTTATTTGTTGAATGACTGGAGCTGCTAATGTTGTCCTAAAGTGATTACGATAATAGATGTTTAAAGGTATGTTAGGAAATCCTGTCGTGAAATCACCACATGGGTCATTTTTCTTCTTCTTTTATGAGGACTCGATGGAAAGGCAGTTTTCATGTGGTGTTCAGACTTCTTATCCAGGAACAGAGCTTTGCACACTAGGGGGCCTGCTTTCCACGCTGCTGTGGAGCCTGTTCAATGCCGAGTAGTCACCATGGTTTCCTGCAAATCTGTGTTCAGTGCATTGGCACCAGGCTGCAGTCAGCACCAGCGTTTATGAGTTGTGAAGCGGTTTTGTGCACTCGTGCAAATGAGCGGGGGCTGGTTCCTCTTGAGGGGAGGTCAGCGGAGACTTCATGGTTAGATGCAAACTCTTCAAAACCCAGCCTGTTGATTTTTTAATTTAATTCAGCCTTTTCTGAGTCACCTTATAAAAAAATGCTTGCCTCATCGGTTAAGCAAATTTCATCATTCAGGTTGAAAAATAGAGAGCCAAGGTATCTTTTCCGAAAGCAGTTGCTTAGAAACTCGGGATGATGAGCCCTCGCCTGAAGTGCCTGGCCGAGGTCTGAGAGAAAGATTTCCCTAGGTCATTTAGCAGGACCTTTAGTGACATCTGTCTAGTTCAAGGGGGGAGATGCAAAGTAGGTGAGGATCATTCTCTATGATGTCTCTGGGATGAGTAAGCCCAGGAGCTCCTCGTTTGCTGGGGACAAGCGAGTTGTGATTGTAGACTTGATCTGAACCTGGGGTTGGCGGTCAGGGCCAGAGGGCCTGCCACGAAATTTTAGGGGATGATGGTGATGCTGTCACCACAGTGTCAGTCAGCAGGCTAGTGGGGCCTTGTGTTTCTCACTGTGAATGAGGTTCATTTTCACTGGGCCATCCATGTGCTTGTCCTCTGGCCTCTGCGGCGGATGCAGACATAGTTTGTAAGACAGTCAGGGTAGGGGCCTGATGTGGGGCTCAATCCCAAGACCCGGGATCATGACCTAAGCCGAAGGCAGCGGCTTAACTGAGCCACGCAGGCGCCCCTACACTTATTAATAGTTGAAATACTTGGTGAATTGGACCTCATCTACTTATAGAGAAAAGTCTGAGGCCAACTGACCAACATGAGGATCAAATTCACAGTTTAAACTGATCACGGACTATAACTCCCTCAGTTCAGTGTCAGAGAAATGGGGTCTAGAGGGGGAAGCCAATGGGTGGGCTTTGGCTATTTAATTGGGATTAAGAAAGAGTTTTACTGGCTCAGATATTCTTTTCCCAATGTGAGTGATCTTTCTCTCTCTCTTAAATGGTGAACCTGAAGATCTGACTTTCCTACATCCGATGGGTTCAAGGGAAATGCCTGTCTTTTGTATCACTTTCTACTTAAAAAAAAAAAAAAAAAAAAGTACCAGTAAAACTCTGTTTTTTTCCTTTAACTTTCCACTAATGGTAATTTTCCACTAAGTCCTGATCCTTAGAGGCTGCTCCTTTTAAGTGTCCTGCATATAATCTTGAGTTAGAGGCAAGCTTTCCAGGGATTTGATCTGTTGGCCAGATTTACTATGTTTTCTATAATGAAAAGTATTTAGCTGCCTTTTAAAACCACACACTTCCTATGGAAAGAATATAAATGGGGAAATAATTTCCATTCTTTTTTTCTTGTTGCTTCAGAAGGAGGTCACTGGAGTCCGTTGCTCTCTGTCACATCGCTCCTTTCCCTGTAGGAACTGAACATGGGTCGTCCTTGTTAAGAGTGCCCTTCCTCTTTACCTTTCAAAGGTCTTCCTGCTGGAATCCTCCACTCTTGCCTTTAACTTTGGCTAAATGAAGCTTTTCTATCCTTCATCTGTCTTGCTCCTCTTTCTCTTTCCTGACCCCATATCTTCTGTCATGACTGTGTAAACCTCAAAAACTCTTGACTCTACCAGCTACCCTGCCTTCTTGACTGCTTCTTAAAGCCTCACATTTTCTTTCTTTTTTTTTTTTTTAAGATTTTATTTATTGGCTCTCAGAGAGAGAGAGCACAAGCAGGGTGAGGGGCAGAGGGAGAAGCAGGCTCCCTGCTGAGCAAGGAGCCTGAAGCGGGACTTGATCCCAGGACCTTGGGATTATGACTTGAGCTGAAGGCAGACGCTTAATCGACTGAGCCACCCAGGTGTCCCAAAGCCTCACATTTTCTGTGATCCCTCTTTCTCTTAAAAGGCAGGGCATCAGAAAGGGGATTTACTCTTTTTAGACTTTATTATTTATTCTGATATAATTCAAATTCAGTATGGAAACAAAACAAATGTAAGTAGAGGGGCGCCTGTTTGGCTCAGTCGGTTAAGCGTCTGCCTTCAGCTCAGGTTTTGATCCCAGGTCCTGAGATCGAGTCTCCGGTGGGGCTCCCTGCTCTTGGGGAGTCTGCTTCTCCCTCTGCTCCTCCCGTCCGCTCGTGCTCCCTCTCTCTCTCAAATAAATAAATAAAATCTTAAAAAAAAATGTAATTAGAACGTTTAAAATGACGGAAATGAGGAACAGGTTCTAGGTCTTTTAAATGTTGTACATAAAGCTTCCGCCCTATGAAGATAGTCTTACTCATTAGGATTACATTCATTTGAATGACAGCAGGGTTCACTTAGGCTGAATGAAAGCTGGTTTGGGTTCTCACTCAGGCATATATTGAAATTTGCCAGATAGTCAAGCCTATTCTGGGCACTAGGGATAGAACAGTAAAGAGGACATAGTCTTTGCCCTCAAAAAGCTTACCTTCTGATCTAAGAATGTCATACTAGCCTTGGGAGTGAGTCATTTTTGGCCATCAGAGGTGTCAAGGAAAGCTTGCAAGGTGACTCATCAGAGTTCATGTCCGACATCCTCCCAGCTTCTGTTAGGTGGAGCCTTTCCTCAGTGAAGAAGAAATGGTAAAGCTGTGTACAACAGCTGTGGGGGGATTTAACTTAAAATTTGGTGAACATAAGCACTTTATTTTCATGTCGTAGAAATGTGAATGTGATTTAAACCTCTAACAAAGATGCTTTGTTACAGGTGAAGGTTGCTCAACAAAGCCCAGTGGATTCAAGTGCCCTATTCCGAGAACCCACCACGAGCTCTCTCTCTGTCCGTAACCTTCCTGAGAGAAGTCCAGCTGACAGCCCCAGGGAGGGCCTGAGGGCCAAGCGAGGCCGGCTCGCCCCCAGCCCAGAAGCCGTCCCCGAGTCCAAGAGCAGCGAGAACTGTAGGGTCCAGTAGAAGTGACCTTGTGTGTCAGGACCCTGGCAGGTGGCAGGATTTGTCCAGAAGGTAGTGTGCCTGCAAAGGCTTTTCATTAGTCAGGAGCACATTATCAGTGGGAAGAAAACATTTCCTTATAAATCTAAATATATGGTACTCTTTAGCTCTCCCATGTAGAAGTATTGAAAACGTTCGAAAGCACTGATTACCAACTCATCATTGATAGTTTTCTTCCATGGCGTAAATGGCGCTGTATAAAGCTTTTTGGTAATGTTGCACTTGTAGGGCAAGCACAATCTCGCAACTTGTGTGTGTATGTGGATTTCACCCTAAGAAATCCAAAATACATCCTCTACTTCCAATGAAAAGCTCCCAGGAAAATGTGAACTTTTGCTTTATGACATTTCCTATGTGTAGAGCTAGGTAGGTATGAAATAATTTTAGATCAAGAATTTCTTTTAGTTGAATAAAATGGAGGAAAATCATGCACACGTATACCCATGTGGATGTGCTCATCCTTATCCTCCAGTGTGTTTTCTAAATGTTTGCCTATATAACCTGTACATACTTGTGTGTGGGGCTGACGGGAGTTGTGTGTGTGTTTCCATTGGGCCTGCTTTGCAGGCTCCTTGAAGATGCAGTGTATCAAGTTTTCTGTCATTGTATTGTTTCTTCCTAAGACCAATTTGTTGCAGTTCTTTTAGTGTGCATTCTCATAAATAGTGATCTTGTATTAAAATAGGGCATTTTTTTCCTAATAAAAAAAATCACTTGTTTTCTGTAAAAATGATTTCTAAATATAAATGCATTCTGAGCATTGGCACTATTTCTTGCTAATGTCAACAGTCTCTTAGAAAAGTAAAAGAGTTTTGGGGGCGCCTGGGTGGCTCAGTTGGTTAAGCGTCTGTCTGCCTTAGGCTCGGGTCATAATTTTAGGGTCCTGGGATCGAGTCCTGCATCAGGCTCCCTACTCAGCAGAGTCTTCTTCTCCCTCTGCCCCTCCCCCTGTTCATGCTCTCTCTCTTTCTCTTGATCAGATAAATAAAATCTTAAAGAGTTTTAACAAATGATACTGGTATATTTAGTGAATATATTTGGTTATATTAAAAAACGTGATTTGGAATGTGGGTCATGAAGATTATATAGGAATTATACAGGAATAATATGTCCAGCCAGTATCTGGCACATTGTGTGCACCCATTAAATTGCATCAGCAAGGATAAAAATATGTGGTATTTTCCAGCTCATTTATTGATGACAGGGTTTGAAAATATGCAGGCATTATGAGCCATATCAAACCAAAAACTTTGGAACAAGTCCTTTTGTCCTTGAATCAGGGTAAAAAACTTTTCCAGGACATGAACTAGTAAAAGATAATTTGTTCTTGGCTTTCAGTTCAGACTGATGTATAAACCTTGACAAATACTATCATTTATATTTTAAAATTGGCCTTTGTAAGGGAGCCTCTTTTGTTGAATACTGCTTCAGTAATATTAAGCTACTTAGCATTCATCTACTGAAAGTGATCTCCTGACTTTCCTCTTTCTTCAGTGTCTTGGGGTTGTGGTCCGGTGCAATACCCTTATCATAAATCATCCCAAGGCTGCCATGTGCTCAAGGGCATGGCCCGGAGTAGACATCACTGGGATCAGGCCATCAGCTTTGTTGGCTGTCTCCAGTTATTGGAAGATTCCACTCAGTAGGACTCGCTGGGTAGTTCCATGGGTCCTTGACAGCATCTTCATCTTTTCCTAGGTGGACAGTGTATCTGCTGCTCCTTGTTACAGGGAATACTTAGCATGCCTTTCATTTTTTTAATTGTTCACAGTCGTTATAAATGGGCAGCCAGCGTATTAAGTATTCTTTTCCTCGAGCTAACAGTACTCCCTATACCATGCGCCAAGCTGCATATAGGATGGAAAGTAAATATACCACAGTCCCAACTCTGAGGTACTTGATAAGCCAGTTAGGTCACAGATAAGATCCCAGCTGACAAATCATATGGAGAAACAGACCAACTCCAGAGATCCAGGAGTCAGATTCTCAATCTGTAAAATGAGGGGCTTGGTGGAGATGATTCTTTCATCTTGAATATTCTGTAGGATCTCGGTTGGCCCTTTGTTTTATTGGGAATTATCAAGACTCCAAAGGGACTGCATCTTTAATAAAAAGGGAATAAAAACCAACATTTAATTGTAGCCCGATTTCCTAAGAATCACCTCTCCACCTGCACACATATTAACCTTTGAGATCTATTTGTGGTTTTTCTCATTTGTCCCCAGTCTATTTATTTTGTTGGAACTATGAACTTTTCACAGGTTTCTTTGAACCTGGAAAGAAGTTAAGACCCACTTCTTCCCAGGGGCCCCCAACTTTAGGAGGGGTGGAGACCTGTTCTACTTCCCAACTGGTTTGAGTCGGGTGGCTGAGCACATCGGCCTTAGGTTCTCCAACTTAGTTCTTCTGAAGTCATTCAGGCTATGTCAGCATGTCACAAAAGTAACTTAAATGGGAAATAAGCTATGATCAATTCTTTTGATAAATCGGTTTAATACACCACAGTCGGAAGTTGTACTCATCAGGAGCGTATATGTTATATTTCTCATTTGTGGTTGACAAAGGGAGTATCATTGTTTCTTCAGGAGGACACTAAGTGCCTGGAATTGGTAGTTGACAACTGGTTGTGGGGCATGGTTGAGCTATGCTCTCCCTCCCATTTCTATCCTATAAGCTGATTTCCTTTGAGAGGAAGGGGCTTTATGCTGGTTCACTGACCAGAGAGAACACTCAGAATTTGGAGTGCTTCCGAAGAGCTAGCCCATTCTACTGGGAAAAGCCTGAGGACCTAAAACCAGCATCCCACCTCCAGGTGGCGCCATGTATCTGATGTCACTATTCACCTGAGCTGGGGACCAACTGCTGAAAACACCGTGTGGAACGTTACATGCATTTTACAGTGTTTTTACATGTTTGCTCAAACCTGAACACCTTTGTGAGGTAGACGTTAGGATCTCCACTTTATAGGTTGAGATTAAGAGACACAGGCAGAACTATGGACTCCTACGTCTGAGGAGATCTTGTTTATAATAACGATGAATTTCACAAAAACCTTGCAAAGTGGGGATTATCCTCATTGGATAAAAGATGAAACAGGCTCAGAGAATTGAAGTATTTCAACCTCAGTTTCATGACTGTAGAGCTCAGTCTCTTGTGTGTATTGTGCCTCTCTAGAGGCAGGCTGTTCCAGAATAATTCTGATAGCACAACTATTCAAGAGATAGAAGTAGCTTTTCCACATTTCCTAAGCAGTGGAGATGCCCTTAAGTCTAGGATGATGGCATCTGACTTTGTTACCTCATACTGCATTTTGTATATAAATATGAGACTAGCAATATATTTCAACTTGTGAAAATTGTAACTACTCGCTTCGTGCATAAGCATTATTTACTCAAAACTAAATCCTTTTAGAGAGTCTGTTTTGGAAAAATCTTGAAAAATCTAGATTTGTAAGGCTTTAAATACAAAAGTTTAGTATAATGTAAACCTTAAAAATGAGAAGCGTCAGGGGCGCCAAGTGACTTAGTCAGCTGAGCATCTGAGACTTGATTTCGGCTCAGGTCATGATCTCAGGGTTGTGGGATCGAGCCCCGGCATAGGGTTCCATGCTCAGTGTGGAGTCTGCTTGTCCCTCTTCCTCTCTGAGCTTGTGTTCTCTCTCTTTCAAATAAATAAATAAATAAAATCTTTATAAAAGGGAGAAGTGTCAGAATGCCTGGGCTCCCCATGTGACCTTGGGCAAATCACTCAACTCACCATGCCTTAGTTTCCTCTGGTAAAATCGGGAATAATAATAATAACTTTTGGAACTGTCATGATTAAATTAGTTAATATTTACATATGATTTTGCAAATAAAATGGTTATTCTGCATACAGATAATTACACATAATTTTTAAAAATATTGCAGCTTAAAATAGATAAATCTGTCTACCCAACACTACACATTAATTTCAGATTAAGTTCTGTCCTACAAGATTCTCACCATTCTCAATTTCACTAATGCTTATTATGCAAATGAGTGTAATCACTATAAGTTTGTACATATCATTCAATTACTGATCTTGCAAATTAATCATCCACTGGTTTTGGTTTTTCTTTGTTTGGCTCATTAAAAATACGCAAAGAAAACAACTACAGCAATTTAAAAAAAAAATGAGTTGTATTGCTGACGTTTATATATGAATTAGTTGTTTGGAACTCAGAATACATTTCCTTACAGGAACAACATTGCAGAATGTGCCTAAATTCAAGCTCAGATAGTCCATTTAGCTCCTAATATGTTAAAATGGTAATTACATTTGTTTCAACTATGCAGAACCTACATTCACAACATTGTTTTTTCTAAAAAATATGTATTTTAAGCATTGGGTGACCAGAAACTCATTTTTCTACCCCTCGGCCATTGTCCAGTGTGACCCACTCTCCTCTTCCCCCCAAATTTGTGGTGATCTAGTGATCCCCAGGGGAGAGTAATGGGCGCATAGATTCCTGTCCACCACATTTCTAACAGCAGCTGCTCCTGGTATGAAAGGAAAAGTGATGGCTTTTATGTTGGTTCTGATGCTGCAGGCAAGATCCATCCTGTGTGATGTTGATGTATTTATGTGAGTAAATGTAAGTGATTTGTTCTATTCATGTTGTAGAAAATCACAAGGAAACACACATATCCCCTGGTTTCATACATTTTTGTTCACTTGTAGATGGGAGTTCCAGCCCACAAAACTCTCATCAGCCTCCATCCCCTTGGTGCAAAGAATGTGGCTGATGAATAAGATGACTGTACTTTGTTATTCCTCTCTCTTCTAGGGCACCTTGAGGATGCTCAGAGGGTAAAGTTTATCTGCATAAAAATACCGTATTTGCCAAATGGAACCCTTGCCGTTTCAAATGTTTTATAGCCTTTGATATTTAATAATCCTGTGAAGTGGGTCCTATTTTACCACTCAAGAAGAGACCTAAAGAGGTTATTAAGTTTGTGGCAAAGCAAAACTGAGGCTCTGGTCTTGATCCCCAGTCCAAGGCGTGTGATATATTACCCTCTGCCCCTAAGTAGAGAGTAAAGGGATTCAGGAGGCCAAGAAGCTAGACGCCAGCTGGCCCGACAAGTTCTTTTTAGAATCCCATTCGGAAACCCAAGGCTGGAAGTTTCCCTCTTTCCTGGCTTAGGACAACGCCACACCTAGGGAGAGTGTGCTTTCTTTAACCTCATTTAACCCTTCGAGGTAGTCAGGGATTTGGCATTGGGGTTTCCAGCAAAAGTTATCCTGTTGTCATAATAGGGGATTTCTCTTCCACTTAACTTTTCCCCCCAGTGGTGCCCTTGCAAGGAGGTAGGAAAATGGCAGCTTTCCAGTTACAGACTTTTTAGCGAAACATGGGTATGTTCCTGAACTTTAAATGTGAACAGATCCTCTTGGTGTTGAAATCGAAGCTGTGTTATCTAACAGAGCATTTGCTGGGCGCATGCCCTCTCCTTCCAGCTAGACCTTGAGCAGCCCACGTGAGGGTGTTATTTGTCCAGCTGCTTGTTGGTTTAATGGCCATATTCTTGGACCTCGGCCAGCAGAGGGTCACCAGGGTGCCCTGTGCTAGCCCACAATGCTCCGTCCCTTCTGTGCTATTTATGAGCAGCCTTTATTGTATGCCCACACAGCAGGCTGGTGGTCACTTTGCTTGGAATCACAGACACGTGGGGAAGGAAAGAAGTACCTCTGCTCTGGTTTGTAAACAGGTGTATTAAGTGTGGAGACTATTTTCCTTCTGAACCA